CCAATAAAGCGGAGCATATCACAAACGGCCTAGAACTTCAAAGACCGAGATTTCGGTGGAAAAAGTACTATTGTACGGAGTACGAAAACTTGAATCTGCATGTTTCTGACTAGTCACATGGAGAATCTCAAGACAAGGGCAGATGAGGTGTATAAGCTGTACTTTGTAGATGACCTACTTGTAGGACTGCAAAGACAAAAATCCTTTTGTTTCCGGGGGCAGGGGATGACACGGCAGTCAATGCAGCTACTGCAGCTACTGCAGCCCTAGTCAATCAATACCAATTTGTCTAGAAATAACGCAACGCTCTGTAGACCTGTCTAAGCGAGATCGTCCTAGACCCAGCCTCGGTTCTCGTGGCCACCCATTTTGAGACCTAGCTGAGCCGCTTTCAAGAACACGAAGATCTCTCGGGCGTCCAGTGAAACGACAGAACCCCATTTCATGAAAAAAGCACCTCAAACCAATTTCATGTTCCCCAATCTTTGTGATCTGTCCATATTATCTGTTTGCTTTATCTTCCCCGTTACTGCCAAGACCAAGATATCCGACGCAGCTCCGGCTAATCAGGGTAGTTTTCAAGTCAACTCCCCGAGCAATTTTGATCACACACCTCGGATGGCTGCCTCGCTGCTCAACCGAACCTGATCTGTCCTAACGATGGATGCGCTGCAGTGCTCGTTCTCTGAACTTACACAGTAATTGGAGCGCTGTCACACCGATCCATTCCGTGGCCTCAAGAATTGCCGACCGTTTCCGTCATGATCTCGCAGCAACCTCGCCGGGAGAGAGCTTACAGCGATAAAGCTCGAGGAATGCCCGCTACAGCTTCCCAAAGACCAGGCATGGGAAGCCGGACTTCTTCAGCCCCACCGGGGGGCCTTTATAAACTCGACGTGGTGCGGAAACCGGGCACGGGGACGAAGGTCGAACACACATTGCTGGAGGAGGAGGAGGCATCGCCAATTACAGGCGACGCAATCAAGCGCACACGATTTGGTCAGCATGAATGGGTACGTCTTGAATTGATCCCAGGACCCTGAGTCGTTTATGGCTACGGTGCTTCAATTGCTGACGGTTACCTTTCCCCCTGTTCTATAGGAATATCCCAAGAGCGGCTTCCCAGAAGTGACCATTGCAGTGGCCGGCGAAGAAAACGCCGGCAAGACCAGCTTTGTCAAATGTGCCCTGGATATGAAGCACCCACCTACCTCCCCTATGAACAAGAAGAAAATGTCATTAAACGGATCTGTCTATATTGTGCATCTGATGGAAGTCGACTTGACTCACGTTCAATTCGACGAGGACAAGAATATCATCTGGCCGCGTACAGGGCGCGACGCATCTGCGCCAGTCATTGACGGGGTTTTGGTTCTCCATGATGCCACCAAGCCGGACCGACTCTCTTTAACAACAATGCTCATTGGTAGGTTTTGACCTGAACTCGATGGATGTACCTGGTATGGGGAGGCTGATTTTCCCCGGATTTTAGACTCATTGGCCGCCTCGGATCTTCCTTTCCTGCAGGTGGCCTGCAAATGCGATGTCAACCCCGAACCTTTGGAAGACATCGAAGTGGATGCGATCCACGACCGGTACGAGATCTATCGAACGTCGTTTTCCTCGCCTCGATCTCAACGCATGTGCATAGCGCTGGTTTTGGGGGCAGTGATTTCTACTCGAGAAGGTAAGCAATTTTCGTCTCTTCCCCCACCCCTTGTACCTTTTTTTTTTCGATTTCTTTCTTTCGGACACAAAACCATTGTCGAGTCCAGGTGTGCCTTGACCCCCCCAAGTGGGAGCGGGCCAAGGTGGGTCGCGGCAGGAGCGTTCGCTACTTTTGTCATTCCCCATAAACTCGTCTTCGGTTTTCCCCTAAAAAACTAACCCCTCTCTTCTCTTCTAGATCTCTCCAATAATTCTAATATTTCTCTTGCTTCAACAAAAATCAACTCTTCCCAGCACGATTGGCATCATACTCGTGCCAACTCGGAAACCCTCTCAGCCGTGTCCACAGCCGCCGGCGGCCCACAAACAGCCTCTGATCAATGTGTCGACGGGGATGGTGAGAACCGTCTCGCAACCGATGGAAACTACTTGCAGCATACGTCCAATTCCCACCGTTATGCCCGCAGGAACTCGCAACCGGTGCGACCGCAAACTCCGCCATCCGGAGCGCGTTTAAATACCCGCAGACCGTCGGTACAAGAACTACACTCTACCAACCACGATAACCGTCAGCAACGATTGCATACCGCTTGGCGACACAGTGGAGGATCGGACGCTTTCGACAGTTTTTTGAACATGGATGACGAGGGAGACGATGGACAGAGCCGGCCCGCGAGCCCTAGCGCAGTCGTGCGGCCAAAGCCGAGCAGCGAGAGCAACTCGAGTGCAGAGACGGGTCTATCGTTCGATGAGCTAGTCGATCGTTTGATTTCCTTGCCGATGTCGAAACAAGACCAGAAGTTCCGTTCTACATTCCTATGTCTGTACCGAAAGTTTGCTGCTCCCGCTAGTCTCTTAAGTGCCTTGATCAGCCGATTCGAGCGAAATGAGCTGAGCAACGAAGATCAACTGGCCCGCATGGCGGATCAGCTGCGATTACTCGATGTCATGGCTCAATGGGCCTCGGATTATCCTGGAGATTTCGCCCATCCCAAACTTCACAAACGGATCATTGAATTTGTCGCTTTACTCGAAAAGAGCCATTTCTACATGTTCGCTGCCAAGGAGATCGGATCGCAATTAGACTCGAATGCAGAAGATGATGATATTGGCTGGGCATTTGGGGGTGACAGTGATTCCGATGAGTCCCAACTGGCTGAGACATTCTTCGACAACTCCGGCCGAAGTTCTCCAGCGGCGGCTCTCGCTAGCGCTGGCTCTGGCACTAACACCTACGACACCGAAGAAGAGCAAGACCCCATATATAGTATGAGTGCGCTGGATCTCAGTAGTGGGCCGCATGACTCGACATCGCGACTCTCGGGAACTCTTTCAGTCTCCTCGAATACCGACAAATCGAACAGTACCATCAGCCAGTCATTCACATTATTGAGCCTCGAGGCAGCTCAAAAAGAGGCTTTGCGTCTTGAACTGACACATAAGACTTCACTTGGCAAACTCCAATGGCGGATTTTCATGGACACCCCAGAAGAGGAATTCGCACGAGAACTGACGCGGGTTGACTGGATCATGTACAATTCATTCCGGCCGCGTGATCTTGTGCGTCATGTCAGCCTTTCGGGCATAGACAAGGATAAGGTCAAGAGCTTGACGAACGTTAATCGGATGATCAAGCAATTCAATCATCTGGCCTTCTTTGTAGCCAGCCTGATCCTCTTACGCGATAAGCCTAAGCATAGAGCGCAGGCGCTAGAGAAGTTCATGAACATCGCGGTGGTAGGTTTTCTCAATCCAGCTATTATAGGTCAGCAGCAACTAACACTTCTTGCCAGAAACTCCGCCGCCAAAACAACTACAACTCCTTGGGTGCGGTCATCGCCGCCATCAACGGCACTCCCGTCCACCGCCTCACGCAAACTCGAGACCTGATCCCTATCCCAGCTCAGAAGGAGTTTATGCGTCTGGTCATCCTCATGAGCACCCAACGAAGCCACTTTGCCTACCGCCTAGCCTGGGAAAATTCGTTCTCGGAGCGAATCCCATTCCTACCCCTCCACCGTCGCGACCTTGTTTCTGCTGAAGAAGGCAACAAGACATTCTTCGGCGAGAACAAATCTCGCATTAACTGGAAGAAGTTCGAGGTCATGGGTGAGGTTGTTCTCGGAATTCAACGAAGCCAGAAGACCCCTCATCCCCAGGCTCAGAAGTCCGACGAAATCGAGCGATTGATCCTGGATTCGAAGCTCTCCGGAGACGAGGAGGTAAGATTTTTATTACCATGAATCTTTTTTCTTCCCATTAACGTTGTCTAGGACTTGTATGCTCGTAGTTTGCACGTCGAACCGTCCACGGGAGCTGAGGGACGAAGGAAGTTTGGCTGGTTGCGCTCTTGAACCCGGTCGCTTGTTCAGCCACACTTGTCTCCGTCAGCCTCAACACGAATTGAGGCTGCTCCCTCAACCAATCCCTCACAACCATCTCATCCAACATCTTCACCCCTGCCTCCCTATCTATCCTCCATACCCTACCTTCTCCTACTCCTCCTTTCTCATGTCGCTATGCCCCTATATGATTGATAAATACTGTTGTTGTCTTTTACCTGCTTTTCGTTATGAACTCGATTCCCTGCGGGGGTCGATATGACGCTTGTAACGGTGATACATCTTGCGAAAAAAAAATGTTCTGCTACGACATTTTGTACATATGCATGCTGAGGTGCGGGTAGTGATGGCCATTGACTGTTTTGCAGATAGGATATTCCTACCCCGGTATATATTGACATGTTTATGTATTCAATGACGTTCGAATCGTGTCGATTTGGAGTTATTCTTAGCTTGATTCTCTTTTCTCTTTTTATACCTTTCTTCCACTCCTTGGGCAGTAAAAAGGTCTGTTTCCAGCGCCCCTTATGTTCGCAAGAACACACTGGCGAAACTACCATCGAGGAAAGTGGTCGGAAACTATGTTCGGGTCATTTTCGTTCCGACCAACAGAACCAAGATACTTTCAGTGACAGCTGTGTATACTAATGGCGCCATATCAATTACGCTAGTCCAGCTCAACGCGAAAGAAAGGAATTAGGTTACGTGTGGAAGAATGGTAGTGGCTGGTGTCGTGGCGATTGTAGAGACAGCTAAGACGAATCGGCTCAGGTCACCACCCGCCTTCTGTCCAGCCCCTACAACCGGGATTCACAACACGCTGTTTCTTTATAGACAGCGAAATGACAGATCTCTCTACCTTTATGCAACGCTAGATATGAAGGCTATCCGAGGCCCCTTCCTGAGAAGAACTCTAGGAGCCACGCTTTCCCGCTGTAACCCCCACGATGCACTACTCATGGCGGCTTCTTTTTTTCTGGCAATTCCAAAATGAATGAGACCGAGAGTATCACAGATTCAATGCATGGCCTTGAGGCGCTCAATCGGTTTACCTCAGGTCGTTGGCTTTGGAACGAGCGACAGCAGCTTGCCTGTCGTCATGTCAAATTCGACCACTCAACGCTTCTGAAAGTAGCTGCCTCTGCGGTCGGATCGAAAGCATGCACTCACGTGTTAAAGATCTCCGAGGGCCAATATAACAAATTGTTTCAGCTTACCATAGACGATAGACGCGACATTATTGCGAAACTTCCAAATCCCAATGCAGGCAGACCACACTTCACGACAGCTAGTGAGGTTGCAACTATGGATTTCGTATGGCTTGCTTTTTTTCCTACTGCAATTTTTATTTGCGCCTCGGTACTAACTTGGTTAGCTGAGGAACTTTCTGAACCTTCCTGTTCCGAGAGTGTACGCATGGAGTTCTCGAGCACCAGAGAACCCTCTCGGGGCAGAGTACATCATCATGGAGAAGCAGTCCGGCGTGGTACTTAACGATGTATGGGACACCGTCAAAGGAAAGCAGAAAGTCTAAATACTGGACCAGCTTGTTGATATTGAAAGGCGACTGGCAGCTACAAAATTCTCCAAGTTCGGGTCGTTGTACTATAAAGATGACCTTCCTGACAATTCCGATTCTACATCGCCCCTATACCTTGATTCAACTGGGAACGAAGTGCGAAGCAAAACGTTTACCATTGGACCGACTAATCACCGTTCTTTCTTTGACTTCGGGAGAGGCGAGTTGGATATTGAGCGTGGTCCATGTAAGTTCATCTCCGACTCGTATGATGTTATTATCTTGTGCTTATCCATGCACAAAATTTAGGGTCAACAGTCATAAGATTTATGATGGCTATTGCGCAGAGGGAAATTGCAACTGCAAAGGCAGGTCTTCGGTATCCCTTAATGCCCGAAGGTCTTTTCTCTGGACCCGGACAATACCAGCCTAGCCTCTCCAAAAAGCTCCCCTCGTTGCAAAACTACCTTAAGGTGGCACCTTATGTTCTCCCAGAAAACAAAGCCACCCACGCCTCGGTTTTATGGCACGGCGATCTCCATGCTCAGAATATATTTGTCGACCCGGCAGACCCAAGCCGTATCGTGGGAATTATCGACTGGCAGTCCGTTAGCGCATGTCCGCTTTTTACGCAGGTTGGGCGCCCAGCATTTCTCGATTACAACGGCCCAGTTCCTGAAGATTTGGGGAAGGTCGCTTTCCCACCGTTGACTCTATGGATCTAGATGAACAGCGGAAGGCAAAAGCACTCCATAGAGCACAGACACTGCACAATCTCTGTCTAGTTCGGTGTCTTCAGCTCAACGAAACGGTCTTTCAAGCGATACAAGACCAGAATACTCTCCGGCATCAGGTTATTGTGGTTCCGGGATTAGTTTTAATGGACTACCAGCCGCTCCTCAACAGCCTGCTGAGAGATGTCGAGAAGGAATGGGCACATATTATTGGCGCTGGACGGGATGGCAGATCTCCTGGAACGCCATTCCCGCTACAGTTCTCGGACGAAGAAATCCAGCAGCAGGAGCAGGGTGGCGAGCTGTGGGCCCAAGGTGTTGAACTCATGAATGCATTCGTTGACGACACTGGCTGTTTCAAGCATTGGGGTGGTAGGGTTAGCGATGTAGATTATGAAAAATCCAGGAGAGAGCTAGACGAGGGGGTGAAGAGGTTCTTGGACCGTGAAGCCAGGAATGATGAAGAACGCAGGGAGTGGCTCAAAGCCCTATTGTTCGTGGATTAAAGCAGACGGCAGAAAAAGGCGGGAAAATGCTTAATTTGTCCCGAGGTCTTCTCTAGTTATGTATCCATCCGATCATCTTCAAGACCCAAGCCAAACTCACCTCCAATACCCCGGTGCACCAGAGTCTTGATACACTTTAATAAAACCCACTAAACCGACCACAAACCTCACTCAAAATGTCTACAACACCAATGCGCACAACCTACCGCGCCCTCCTCCGCGAACTCCCACGCCGCAGCCTCTCAACCCCCTCCCCACTCCACCAACAACTACGTGCGATCTTCCGCTCAAGTCCATCGGTATCCTCATTCCAACCAGAATTGAAATCCAATGTCCTCACCTTCTCAATCCCAACAACAGACGAGGAACGGCTCATCCGCGTCCAAGAAGCAGACCAGCTCGCTCAGTATGCCCGCGCCCAGCGCGTCTACTCTGAGCTCGTCGAGCGCTATAACCCTGGTGCGGCTATGGATGAGGAGGAGAAGATTCGTCTTACGGCTAGACGGGTTGGGTTTGAGTTGCCTGACTTGCATGTTCCTGAGGAGAAGTGAGTCTGGTTGAGTTTTGGAGGGATTACCTGGGTTCGCCTTGGTTTAGCTTGTTCTGTTGGTGACAAGTCGATTGTGGACATGATCTGCATTCTGATGCTACGCAAGAGGCGAGTTGTGCTAGGCTTGGTTGAAAGTTTGTGAAGATAGTGTGATTTCGCTGGGATGTATGTGTCCATGGAATGGCGTTGTTGTTGTTGATTTTTGGGATTTGTATACTATTGTTCATGTATAAAATAAAATAGAGAGCATTGCCAAGTAGCAGAACTTGTTGTTTTTGAAACCTTCTCTATGTTATGCATTGACTTTGGATGTTTCAGTCGTAACTTGGGGTATCTAATGATCCTCCTGACCTGAAAACTTGTTCATTGCGAACCATGTGGGTTGCCGCACAGTGTTTAGGGCACCGAGAATGGACACCTGATGTTGACACTGGGTGTGATTGTGTTGCAGAGGTGACAGCCTAGCAAAAGGGTCATGGCGGAGATGCCCTAGAACCCCGAAAAAGCTGGTGCAGAAGGTTGGTTTGAATAAACATGCTTCCCTGAGTGACTCTTCAGGTAGCGCTGAGCTGGGCGCGCTCCATTTGTCTCATCAAAGTAGAACTGCTTTCTTCGTCTTCCATGCCAACACCAACTTCGATCGCAGTCTTGGGTCGATTCCGGTTGAGACCATCTAGCAGCGTGCACGCTTTGCAAATCCGCTGACTAGAAATGTAGTTACAGCGCTCACAGTGTTTGATAGTCTGCACCTTGACCGCCTTACCCGTCGGCCCGCGATTCGCCTTCACGCGTGAACCGTTAGGAATCTTGATTTCAGTCTCCAGCGACTCGGCTGTGTCGTTCTCAGCGAGCTCCTTCTCCATTGCAGCCATCTCTCCTCCGCTGGTTCGGCCATTTTGACTACCACATCCACCAGCTGATTCCTCCTCACCCTGCTTGGATTTGCCCACACCCCGGACTTCCACCGGCACAAGCGCGGCCATGTCCTCGCCACTCTTAACGATATCGAGGATCGAACTGGGACGAATCTTCTCAAGATCCTTGATCAGGGTACGAGCACTGCCGCGGAATGCCTCCGGCGAATAGATACATTCAGTAGTGAAGTAGTCGAGCTGGCGGTGGTGGGCGTAGAGGACGATCTCCTTTTCGTAAGCGTACTTGAGAGGCTTGCTGCGCTTGATATCCGAAGCGTCGGAGCTGGTGACGATACTAGTACCGCGCGACAGACGGGGTAGATCACCACGCAGGAGATTCATCATAACAGTCTCAGCAACATCATCCGCATTATGGCCTGTGACAACGTGCTTGATGCCCAAGCGGGCGGCGCCTCGGTCGAGCGCCTGCCGCCGGAACACACCGCAGTACGTGCAGTTCCCCTTCTTGCCCACTTGTTCCACGACCTGGTCCATCGTCCAGCCGTAGAGTTCGCTGTATCCAAGGATATCAAGTGGCATCTCGTATTGCACGGCGTTGCGCTTCACGGTCTCGAGACTGTCATCGCGATAACCACGGATGCCCTCGTCGATTGACAGTAGGCATAGGTCTAGCCCGTAGTTATATCGCTCGTTGAGGGTTTTTAGTACTGCTGCAAGTACTGTGCTGTCTTTGCCGCCGCTGGCCCCGATCGCTACTCGCTCGCCGGGGAAGAAGAGATTGGTGCCGATGATGGTTTCGTGTACCTCGGTCTCGAAAATATCGATGAAACACGCACGGCAGAGTTTGTGCCTATTCTTAGGCCGGATGATGACGGCTCGCGCCTCTTTGCAGTTGAAACACGCCGTCGGTGCCATGATGAATTGGTTGGGCCTGTGAGTTGGTGGCGGAGAAGAATTTATTTTCCCCCGCGGTCGATCGAGTGGTCCGTGCACAGGGCGCTAAGTCTGTGGGTTCCATGGTTAGATCTATATTATCTCGATCCTCGGTCTTTGCCAGTCTGGAGGGTTAAACGGCTTAAATGAAGTCAGAATATCTTATTTTTACGCCGAGTAGCCTGATTACCTTAATATCATCAGACTGGTACGAGATGACTGCACCACTTATCACATTGATCTATGTCATTAGATGCCTATAAACCAAGAATTGTTATAAAACCAAATTCATTTAGCGGAGTCAATCTGTGCTGTTTGTCAAGAGAATCATTACGCCAACAGGTCTGATAGTTCAAAGTAATCAAAGTACACATGCTTGGAATGGACACAGTGTAAACGTATATAATGGCCAAGGCAGAAACAAAAGAACCAGTCCCATCCCACTGGGCATATCCGATGCATAGCAGCCAAGACCGGGCATACTAGAGAGGACTATGTATCACCCAATGCAATGGGAGGGGAGAGATTCCCTGGGAACAGTGGCCTTAGTCCACAATTCCAGGCTGCAATGAAGCAAATCTTCTTTCAGCCTTGTTCAGTTTTTCCTCAAGAGAGGTGCGTCCTGCACACTGTCGCTTGGATTGTTCAGCGCGTTGTTGTAACCGAGTACTTCTCCGCACACCGTCCTGTCTGCTGCCGTCCCGTTTCGGTCTCGATTTCGGTCTCGATTTCGAGGCTTTTGGCGAGGACTTGGTCACGCCAGAGGATGCTGCCATTTTCTCTTTTGGTTCTCTTTTGAGCTTTTGCACTTTAGAAGGGTGGACCTCAATGGAATTTGATAGCAGAGGTTGAGCAGAGGGTTGGGCATCAGTCGCGTAGGCGCCAAAGCAGGTGACGAGGCAATCGTATGAAAAATTTCGAGCAAATTGTAGAAAATTGCTCCATAAAACAGCTTTGGTTGGCGGGTTGTCCCAACGTGCAGGATCCGTAATTAACCGTGTTTTGATCTTTTGCCAGGTTGTCTGGATCTCGTGAAACCTCTCTGCTTGTCGCTGTTTAAGCAGAGTTAGGAATTCATCGTTGTTATTCGAAGCCCTCGCAATGCAAGAGACGTCGCGATGCCAAGCCTCCGGGTCTTGAATCGCGCACTTTAGAGTGTTGTATTCCTCATGTAGTGTGGTAAAAAGAACGTTGGGATCCTTGTAGCCGACTCTCGAGGACTCCCAGCACCACGTTTTTTCGTAATAATTTGGGTCAGGAGGAGTATGAGCCCCCAGATGAGTGTCTATTGTCCGATGCCACCGCTTAGCCATGGAGGAGGTAGTAAAGATAATATCTCTTGCTATAGTTACTGATTTATGTTATGATATGGGCAAGCCCCCCATTCCCTCCCAGGGGCCCCACACTAAAAGGGCGGAGAACAACGTACTCACCGCCTGGACTCGATCGAATTAAACATTGCAGAATCAAATGACATTCTATTTATACTCGAAACCAGTTTGGCGCCTCAGCCATGGGCTTCGGCCAATCTAAGACGCTCAAGCTTAGTGCTGACATGGCCATGCACGGCTATATTTAGTCTATAGGCCCTCAATCTCGGTCTACTATACCTAGCGGCAAGTTGGATTGTGCATGCATATGTGCCTGGTTTATTTCCGTGGGCGCTCCGCCGGCGCTTCAGTTCTGTTGCAAATCACGGCATACATATATCAGAGGGTAATACGAATAATATGGCAAACTTCTATACTCTGCTTACGAGCAGCTTCTCGGTCCCGGAATGGCACTCAATTCCAAGTCTAAACGGAAGCTTGGCCAGACAGGCCAAAGTGAGGACACTGAGGAGCCCAGAGAGGATGAAGTGGCTACGTTGCCTTTGACTGAAGTTGATCCTAGATCGACGGTTGGTCCCATCTCGACAGAGGCTGGCCCTAGCTCAACGAGAGTTCATCCCAGCTTGACAGAACCAACCCAGACATTCTCGCCTCCTTATCCTTATCTAGAAACAAGCCGAAACCAATCCATGGACTTGGATTTCAGCATGCTACGTCTGGACTCGATCACGTCCAACGAACCGACAGCTAGAATTATTCTATATCCCAGGGTCATTGAGCTCGATATATCTCCCTACAAAGGAGCCGGGCGCTATGACAACTGGGTCGAAGTCCAACTGGGTGACTGTCCAGAGAAAAGCGAGTCAGCCAGGGTCCTCGTTGTGGCTCCGAACGCCGAGCAAGTCGGGTGCACCCTTACCCATCATGATATGAGATTTCACTTGTACTTGGATCCAGGCGAGGATCGTCTCATTCTCCACAATGCCTGTCCTTTCGAAACCCTCGACGTGCGGCTTGATAAGGAATCTATGAAAGTTTTGCCGAGAGACCCTGCCTTTTTATACAAAGGTTCCTGTGCTATCGAGATCAATGGCATAACTCTCGTCGAATTCCAGATACTCCCGCGGACTTCATGGGAGATAACTGCTAAAACGGCCACTAAACGACCTGCGCCAGGATCCGACTTTCCACCGTCAAAGAGGGTGAAATCGAGAGAATCCACATACCGAGCGATTGAGCCTTCGCGTGGTATGCAGGGTGTTTCAGCTGGTAACGCACTTGTGAAGCTTGCAAAAGGCGATACTATGTTTGTCGGAGCTGGCGACGAAGGGTATCGGCTCACGCGATGCAGGACTATTGTAGAGCAGGCAAATTCGTCTGTATGGCAGGCAGAGCACTCGGGTATGCCAGGCAAGCTCATGGTTGTCAAAGTAATCAAAACCACCGGCAGAAACGAGAGGGACGCAATCCGGGCTGCTGAATCTTGGATACATGAATCGGCGATCCACTCTTCTCTCAAAAGTCATGTATGTACTTTCGTTCCATTCATTTGGTCCCAGAACTGATCTGCTCACTAGTCGGCTATACTTCGCATGCTCGGATCTGACGCCCGGTTCCACAGTATATATACTGAGCACGTCGAAGCCGAATCACTCTGGTGTCAGCGGCATCAAGCCAGTGGCATTTTCATCGGAGATTCCTCAGATGCGCAGAAGATCCTGGCTGATATGGCCTCGGCACTTACTTTTATCCATGGCAATAAAATTGTTCACAACGATGTTAAGCCAGGCAATATCCTCTACAGCCCTGATCGGGGTGCCATTTTGATCGATTTCGGCCTCAGCTTCTGGGATGGCAATCCTTCGCCCGGTGGTGGCTCGCCGTGGTATCTGCCACCAGAGTTTTTGCTAGACTGGAAGCTACGTGGACCGCCATCCGACATGTGGGCCTTGGGTATTGTCATACTCTGGCTATTAGGCCACATTCCCTTGCCTGAGAAAACACCGCATTGGTTGATTACGAACATACATCAGTCACCCCATATGAAAGCTGTCGATACGATGCTCCAGTGGATTGACCTGGTCAAGGCTGCTCGGCTAAAGCTAGATCAGCAAGATGAGTCGCTTAGTTATATCGTTCAAGATCTACTGGACCCGGACATGGATGAGCGGATTGATGCCGCAACACTGAATAAGCTGATGACGGAGAAAGGTCTACCTCAAGATGGGAACGTTTGATGGTTATATATACGTTTCGAAGCCTCTGTATGAGCATATATGATTCGCGTTTTGTTATCTTGCCATTGTTTGTTTTGTTTATTATGTCGTTTTGTTTACTTCCAAGTTTCACCAAATACCTCCGTCAGTTTGATTCGCAAAGGACACAAATGAACTTCCGTCATTAAGCACTCGTCAATCTTTGCCTCCAACAAGCAAACTTATTAACGATTCCGTCGCTCACGGTACTATGCTCTACACTCCTAGCAACAGGTGTCATTCATGTTGAAACCTCTTATCTAGGTGCGCTATAGGCTTTCCCTACCGGAATAACAGAGCAAAAAGGCCATATATTTCTTCTTAGCCACCCGCAGAGAGTAAAGCTTTGACCGATCAGCAAAAAAATAAATATCTCATTCTCCTCAACGCCTAGCCTCTTTGCAGTCCCAACGGTCCGCTCCTGCGAGAATGCAAACAAAGTACGAATAATCTTGAACGACCGAGCCATTTGGTGGAGATTAGGAGAATCCTAGTCGCAGTCCCAGGCAGTCGTCTCCTCGGTCGTTAACCGGGCCTGTTCCCAACTACCGCCTGGTTTGTTTATCGCGTTGTTGCAGCCGCGTACTTCTCCGCACACCACCTCCGCTGCTGTCCCTTTGGGGTTTCGGTTTCGAGGCCCTTGGCGAGGACCTTGCTGCTTTGGTCTCAATAGTGTTTGACGGTAGAGATTGAGTAGAGGGTTGGTCATCAGTCATATAGAACCTAAAGCGCGCGACAAAAGAGTCGTGCGAGAAATTTCGCGTGAGACGTATGAAAGAGGCTGGCTGGTCAATAGTGCTTTAGTGTTTTCTGGGCTTTCTGGATTTCGCCAAGTGGTTCTGTTCTCAAGGTGTTCAAGGGGAGTCACGAATTTGTCCTTGTCCTTAGCAATTCTCGCAATTTCACAAATGTCGTAGGACCAAGTTCTAGGTCGAGATCGTGTTGAACGGATTGCGGTCACATCTGCTGCTTACGGCAGAAACAGTCTAAATCCTATCAGTTTACAACTTCTTCTATCCATAGTTCTACCAAGCGGTTTATCAGTTAGTTTCTTCCCAATGCCACGTTCATTGTATATGGATCCGAACGATGTGTATGTGTTCGAAGGTACGATGGAGCAGACTATAGTTAGTTACATACTACAACATGTCAGCGAACGGCTCTGCCATGAAGTACCCCATCCGAGCTATAGTAAAACGATCCACATTACGCCGCGGACGCCCCGGCTCAAATGTATCCCGGCAGGTTCCCACTCTTCCTGCTCCTAGGTAGTCGCCATAGTTGGGATAAAAAGGGTTCGGTCCATCTCCATAAATAAAGTCTTGCACCTCGTTGTCGAGCCAGATGCCAAATCCTGCCCTGCGCATCGAGTCCGCTATACCAATAATGAGTTTGGGCCTTGATTCCTTGTCTCGCTGGTCCCAACATAATGTGTCACGTATTTCAGTGAGCAGACCATGCCAGCAACCATCAAGGAATTCAAGGAAACTCAATTCGATAACACATGTGGTCTTCGGCAGTCCAGCGAGGAAATTTATCATGTCACCCTGCTTCACTAGGAAACCCGATAATCTGAAGGAACGGAGTTCTGGCCACTCCTCCACAGGGAGGATAGTCTTTAGTGGGATGAAGTGGGTGGGATTGCCCGAGATGTCACGTATGGCATCGGTGTCAACTGTTGTTCTAAGACTGAAGTACTTCATATTCTTTGCCTCGGACAAAGCGTGCTTAAGATAACCGCTCCGGAATGAGAGCCAGTCTTCGTGCTCTTGCCCACCCACAAGAAGTGGAAGATCTAGACGACAAAATCCAGGGCTCCGCAGTATTGTAAGGAGGTTGTCGTATTCCTCGCATGGCTGATCAAAGATAGTACAGTTAAGCCCAGTCGGAAGCTGATTGACAGCAAGAACCAATTCTGGGACATAGAGCTTATTTTTTGCGAGCACAGATACCACGTTTCGGAATGCACGCCATTGGTTCTTCCGGTCCTCAGTGGCTTCTCTCCATGGATGGGCGTGTAGCGGAATCTGCGAATCTCTCGACGTCGGCCATCCCCGTGGAATCGGGTAGTTAAATCCACACGGAAAGGACTTAATCATAGGGGTATCATATAATGGGGCATGGATCCACCCGTGCGCTGCGGGAGTGATGGTGATTCGTTTCAATTTTGGGAATCGCCCGATTCCGTAGATAAACGCGTCTACATCGCTGTTTGAGAAAAGAACGTCTTTCTGCTGCTGGAGCAAATTCTGGTAAAATTGCCAGCAGCTTTTCAGCGATAGTTGCGTAATAACTTGTTTTCCCCGTGCGACGTCATCTGGCCGCACTATGTCGTAGGTCTTCCGCACATTTCGGTCATGTATGTTCTCTTTACATGCCGCGACAAACCAGTAGGGGCATCCTTGGTCAGGGTCTATGTCTGCCTCATCAATCTCCCCTGTGGGGTGGGGATGCGGCTTTGGGCCCTCGATAAAACGAGCATCATCCCATACGATCTCGGTGACATGATGCCGGAACTCTTCGTCGTCTGCGATTGTGCGGAAGACTCTGATGTTGCATGGGTTGGCGGAGAGAAAAACACGATTCACACGGATATGAGCGACTTGAGCCAAGAGTCTACATGCCAAGCGTAGAGACTTGAGATCGCGATTGGTCAAGTAAGAGGAAATGCAAATGAGAAGCTCGACAGGAAGGCTGGAAAACCGGTCAATACCGACGTCAAAACCAGGTGGAGGCAGAGATAGAGAAGCCATTCAGAGGTGCCAAAGGTGTCAACTTTCAAGCATGTTCGAAGTTGCCAGGAGAGTCGGTTTCGACCGCCGTACGCTAGTCACGATTTAACCGGTTTGTTACATTTATTACAAAGGTTACACACTAAAATGGTCTGTAACTTTGTAAAAAAATGTAACGGCCGGCTAGTGGCTCGGCTGATCCCGGTATCCATCATCACGGGATAGTATCAGACAATCGATTCATCACAACCAACATCATACTTGATATTAGCTGGAATTCGTATAGGGAATGACAGGAGTCAATATTTCTGCAACCTTCGACTACGATTGGTGGACAACCTGCCCGCGCATTTCCAATCTCCTCTAACAAGACTGCTGCTAAGTTTGGGCAATTGTGAGCGACACGCAGGTCTGTGTGGGGACATACAACATTCCAGAGAGGTCTCTACCATGGTGCAGAATTCCATGTCAGGAAGCTCATTGGAGGAGATCCACAGGGTGGCATTCCAGAGGGCAATTATGTGGGGAGAGACGTTAAAGTTGGGGTCAACAGATCAATATGCAGATACTGACATGTTGATTTCCGTGACGGCCTCACTCTGTCTCTATTTATTATTAATATAACCTTTGGGTCGGCTTGATAAGCATGGTTACTGGATCTCGTGTTATTTTGTTATTTTTTTGTAAATTTCATTATGAAGCCAAGTCCACTGGATATGGGCTATGCCCGACCTCTCGAGTTCACTCTGTCAATCGTTGTGAGGACCAGTCCTAGCCCGCTCGACTTTCAGTTCGCCGCCGATACACTCGTGTCACAATGGCCTGTACTGAACTTGCGAATGGATCCGCTGGTACGTGCTTGGTAACGTCAACCACGGTCATTAATCATACTAACACTAAACAGAAAACGAAATTCTTGGATCCGAAAGACCCCGGTGACCTAGCCGAAGTGTGGAAAGGGAAAATTCTTAAGCAAGAGCTCAGCGAGATTCTCCAAGTTTCCCCCAAGCCGGACTCACCGCAATTGATTGACTCCGAGGCATTCGATAAGGCGTTAGATTTTGGGTATGGAGTCTTGCATGCATGGAGGCAGCGCGTATTCTCCATACGAACGGTGTTCTTGACCGATGCCTGCATAATAGGATTCAAGTTCCTGCAGCCTCTTTGCGATGCAAATGGTAATTGACGCCTTAGAAAGCATAAAGCACAAACCAGTAGAGCTGACAGGTGCTTATAGGTGCTCATCAAATAGTTCAGGCTTATTGTAGCCTGCTCAGGGGAGAAAAAATTACCCACAGTCTCCATGCCCGACCACTCTTGCCGCTGAAAACAGAAGTAATCGAAAAATGCGTGGAGAAGATTGAGTGTCATCGGATCGCAGATCTGCACAAATATTCCATGAATCGGACTTGGATAGCAGGAATTACGGCCCTCGGGAAACAGATTGGGCGAAATATATGCTACCCCTCAGCGAGACGGATCGGCAAGACCTTGTTGGTCCCCCGAGGGCAAATCCAGAGATGGATTGAAGCGGCCGAAAGTAAACAGGCCAAGGTAACTGAACATGATCTCTTGCTGGCTTTTATCTACAAGGTTAGTGATGCTACCTGTCATACAGTTTGCCCCAAATTGGAGAAGTTCACTAAGACAATACCTGCACAGGCTTCTTTACACTTACACACTGCCCACAACTTCGGCTTAACCATCGATATCTCAAAACAACTCCAGTCAGAGGCAAATCTTTCCAACCCCTGGTACATGATGCCCCTGCCGGATCCAATACCAACAAGCGAATATGACTCTCCTTCATTGGTTCGACTGGCAACACACATTCGGCGTGCGGTTCACGAAGGGCAGCAATCAGAATGCATCGCAGAGATAATCGCTCAGCACAAAAACCCGACGAAAAGACCCATGGTCCCAAAATCATACGGCAGCCGCGCGGCTCAACCACGCATCGCTTCTTGGAAAAGCCTACCGCTCTATGGTCTCGATATCGAAGGCGAGTGTCCGCTCTTTGTACAGGGAAGTGTTGACTACTGCGGACTTCTGCGACAGACCAAGACTCACTTGGATGATTTGGTTGTGACGTGGAAAGGGCGGGGTCAGGATGGGAATGATGGTGGTTATTGGATTCATGGGAGGCTGCCTAAATCTGTTTGGAGGCGCATGGCGGATGATTTGAACTGCTGAGATTGATCTCAATTTTTTTCTTCGCTGCACGACAGGAGCGTGTCTTAATTATTGTCTTATAGTATATTTTAATTGGAAGGAGGTGATCATCTCATGCCTAAACAGCTTGATCTTCAATATTACTGAAGAATGAGTATGTCACTAATTTGAGACGCTAACATACTGGGTAGTCCTCTTTTAGAAAAGAGTAGCAAAAAGGATAGGTTTGATTGGTGCCTTCACAATTGAGAATAGATTAGCCCCAACTATAATGTACCTGCCTTGAGAAATGCCAGGAAATAAGGTAGATTAACCTTTCCTTTCCGAACCCGAGTACGAACCCGACCCTTCGCCGAGACATTGCACGTCGTAGAAATAATCTTTCACAAGGGCCCCTAGGCTGCCATAAAGAGCTATGTTATGATTACTCGGTTTAGATCTGATCTGCATCGAGTTGGTGGTCCCCTACTCGGGGTCCAATGTTATAAATGCCATGGGGGTTCCGGATTTTTCAGTGATGCTCGCTTTCATTACAACTTACTTACATCTTCAAGAGCCAATTGGTCTTTGTTTGATATATCCTTCCTAATATGATGTCTTCAACCGCCTATTATTCCTATACGCCAAGTCTGATTCCTGCGGTTGTTGGAGTGGGTATATATTGCGCCCTGTTTGCAACGCATGCGGTCCGTATGTGTCGCTCTCGAGCATGGGATGGTAGCTATATGCTGGTAGCAGCTCTGGGTAAGGAACAACCCAGCCCGATTGAGATATTCTCCCGCTCACCACTCCATAGTGCAAGCAATGGGTCTAGGGGCTCGAGTGTTCTCCTCAGAAGATGCCTATAGCTTTGGAGCCTACGGCGTTCAAAATCTGTTTCTCCTCCTTGGACCAACGCTATGCATGTTTACCGTCAATCTCACACAAGTGAAAATGATGCGCTGTTTGAAGTCCGAGAATCTGGGTCTGCTCCCTACCCAATTACGACTCCCTATCTACCTCGCTTCCAACATTGTCCTTTTTCTACTTCAGGGCACCGGTGCTATGATTCTTGCTCTGACCCATAAGGCTACACTCATTGAGTCTGCAGCGAATATTCTCACGGCGAGTTATGTATGCCAGATGGTTTTTTGGATATTCACTCTTGTGGAGAATATATTCTGGACTGTTCGATTTGGACGACCCTCGTTCGCCAATATCCAACTCATGATGCCTCATTGGAAACTTTATAATCAGTTGTTTGGTCTTGCAATCTCGATTATTGCTATTGGTCGCAATTTGATGCGACTGACACAGCTTGGGATGGGATCCGATGGATTTTTGGCAGCCAATGAGTGGCCCAGTTATGCATTTGACTACTATCAGACGGCAGTTGTTCTCATGGCATGGGGGATCTTCTACCTGCCAGGGATTTGCAAGGAAATTGAGTTTAAACATGTGCATCAGGTGTTTCAACATTCCGAGTGTTGAACGTGAATTCTGTGGAACCAGATAGGCAGGATATAGAGCGATCAAATGTTAAAACGGCGACATACAGTCTTGGGACCTTATCTCGAGTTCATTGGGTCTCGTACATTTATGCTTCCAATTATTTATGCCCCATCATTGCAGCCCAAGTTATCCGAGACTGCGCATCGTGAAACTCGGGCTTCTCAATGAAAAGGAAGCTCTTTCCTGAAACATGAAGCGCCCGGGAATGCATCTCATCACCAGCGACACGCATCCCTTTGGCGTCTACCATATCTGCCCCAGACAGTAGCTCTGATACCACACCAGTTACAACGTCTATAGGAATGAGTATTTCCCGCGGAAAGATCGCATTAAACGCCTCGTTGGCAAGAAGGGGCGTTTCCACCACCCCGGGACACAGAGCATTAACCCGAATTCCATCTTCCCAAAGTCGCTCTCCGACAGAGCGAGTGAGCCCAATGAGCGCATCTAGGAACTTATTAGCCATGTCTGATGGCGAACTTATTCGAGTTGTTAATTCTCAACATACGTTTAGTGCTAGAGTACACCGGGGTCAACATGCAGGGGTATAGTCCCCCGATACTCGACATGAGTATTAAATTCCTATGCCCTTTCGTTAACTCTGGAGAGCGACGGAAATAGTGCATCGCAAGGTAACTGGTATATAGAGCGCCGTTCACGTTGACATCGACAAGTTCAGAACCCGGTTCGGGCGGGATGCCGGTCTCGGATTTGGCGAAGAAATCGGTATAATCTGCTCTTCCGGCGTTCGCGAAGACAAAGTCTATTCGGTCAGTGGCATTGAAGATCTGGTCAAATACAGCGGCTAGTTGTTGGTAATTGCGCACGTCGGCTTGGTAGAATGTGACATTTAACAAGGAAGCTGCTGCTTCTTGGCCTCGCTCCTGGTTGGTGCCGATAATGTTGACCTGCCAGCTGCCGGTCTGGCTCAGGTCCTTGGCAACTGCAAGCCCCATTCCGCTAGCTTTTTTCAATAAACTTAGTGAATGAATGATCCGAGGATAGAAAGCTACATACTACCGCCGGTAATAAGAGCGACTTTGGCCATGATCGCGTAGGATTTGTACTAGAATAATGATATTTTAGTGGGAGAGCTTCGGAGATGGAATATTTCTGGTGAGGGGCATTTCTTCGATCGATCCTGCGGCTTGACGCTAATCGTCGATGGCGTGCATCTAAAGCATCGCGTCTGTTTATTGGAAGGGTCCATGCCCAAGTCGATTGCTATCGGCGTCAACAATTGGACCGGAAGGGTAATCACTTTGCCGTAGCCCCATAGTGGAGCCAGACGCAGCAAACATTGCCTCAGCATCCAATGATACCACTAGAAAGGGTTGTGGGACAGGGATCTTCCCGAGTCATGGAAAGGTGCAACCCTGGAAAGACACATTGCGGCTCTGAAACATTGATAGTGTCGTCACCCTTGCGGATAATAAAGCTGCAGGTCGGAATCTGGACCACGGCAGCTACAAATATGTGTGCGACTTTCCCTCGTGTACTGTTCAATGGAATGGCCCTACGTGTTACTATGGGTGTGTGCCTTGCTCGTAGTGTGGATAGCTTGGAATATGCTAACTGTTTTGGATTATACCTGCTTCCTAGAGTAAACAGCCGGGACGATCAAAGTATATATAAATTTGAGGCATTGCAAATCCGAGATGTTAGACTTTCCGTCGAACTTTGTCGAGGACATTGAGCCACAGAACGGCAAGGGTGAACATAAACTATGAAGACGTAATATACCCATGTGGACCTTCCAATGACATGCTCTCAGCTCTGTGAAGAGTCGGACGTTCGATCGGTCTAATCTCCGATACAGCCCCTCGCGAAGATCGGGGATATCTGTGCGGAGTAAAAAGTGGATTCATAACATCTTCCATCGACAATCAAGCTGTACAACATATGTTGCACAAGACTGTGCATGAACAACGTATTAAATTCCAATTGAGATCGCATTTAACATCGTATTCATGTGCGACAGTCCAGGAAAAGCGGGTATAGATGTGCAATCGAGGTGCAACGGCAGTGCAATAGCTGCATGAGACGTATATCAAGTTCGTAATCAATGGCAAAAGCGCTGTCATGTGGATCAACATAACGGCTGAATTCCACTAAATGCCACCATGTGGGCCGCAATCGGATATGTCTGCTGTGCTTTAGACATATCATATCGGGTCAACCCCAGACCTCAACTGTCTCATTATACGTGGATCTGCCAAAACGGTGGCTTCAAATCTGTATTCTATGGCCCAACCCGCATTGTTTTCAATTATTGGACGATCATGGCGGTTTCGGCGTTTTTGGCTACATTGGGCGTGGTACATATGGAGAAAGCCAGATATTCCGTGTATGTCTCTATTTCTGAATTCTCCTACGATAGAGCCCTGGGAAACTCAGCCCCGGTTTATCTATATCTCAAAACTGCGTAGACTTCTTTATTGTTAATCCCTTGCTTGAAATATAGTGATGAATTCCGAACTTCGTTGAGTAATCTTCTAGTATGAGAACTTGACTGCAAAGCAATGAACAATCATTCTTCACGCATATCTCTAGTGATTATCTCGATCAAAGACGTAATGCGCTAGGACATGCTGTCATTTTGTTCAACACATCTATTCGCCGGGCTTTCGGAAAAAAATAACTTGCATAAAGTGGATCTCATGAGTGTCAGATCCGAATCTGATATATCCACTCTTCCAAGATGATACGTCCGGAAAGGGTTCTTTGGCCTCCATATGATTGGTGAAATCTCCACGGCCAAGGTATACAATGCTTTGTTGCTTTATGATCCGACGGGCCGTTGATTAACATCGGCTAGCTTTTTCTAAGGCAAAATAGTCGCACACTACAATCAGTAGTCGTTCGCATTGGAGGGTGCCTGAGCTGAACTGCCTTCCGTACCTAGCAAATACCCTGTCATCGATGTGATCGGTATACCCTTCATATCATCTTTGCGGTATTTTCGTGGATGTCAAAAGATATGACATATCCAGGCTACATACGTAGATCCCTTTTCCCCTTCCTCATCTTGTCGAAGTATATTAAAGGAACCGAAACGCAGCCTTAAATGATTCCAAATCATTCAAGCCAACAACTTCCTCTCGTTTAATCATACCTTGTTGTTTGAGTTGATCCACCATACCTGCCTGTCATGTCTTCCCCAGATTCCTCCAGCCCCACGTGGACACCAGGAGACTTCGAACACCCGAACCAGGAGTTACGCCGGTCGATGATTATTGCCCTGGTGTTTGCTTACACGTTGTCGACTCTCTCCGTTGCTCTCAGGATCCTGGCGAGGAAGGTGACTGGGAGTAGGCTTTTCATGGACGACTACTTGATTATGGTTGCTCTGTTCTTTAAATATGCATGCTCCAGTGGAGTCGTCGTTCGTGAGTGAATCAAAATCCCCATTAAACCAACGTATACTAATACCATATTAGTCCTGTTCAATGGAATGGGGTCACACATCACAATGATCCCAGCGAAAAACCTCGTGGTTTACTTCCAAGTACGTAACTCAGCCCTATAACTATCAAGTACACGCATTGACTCAAGATAGCTCGGCTTTGCCAATGCCTTTATCTACACCGGCTGCATCGCCTTCATTAAATACTCCATTCTGGCACTGTACAGGCGACTCTTTGCAGTCCGACACATGACAATTGCAGTGAACATCATGTTTGGATTCGTCACTCTCTGGGTTGTGGGTGTTTACGTTGCAGGTGCTCTTCTGTGTATCCCCGTCAAAAGGTTCTGGGACCAGTCGGTTGAAGGAGCCTGCCTTGACCCAGCAAAATTCTACTATGGAATCCAAATCCCCAACATCCTCTCCGACATCATTCTCTTGATCATGCCCATGAGAGTCGTGTGGACATTACCGATCTCAAACGGCCAGAAAGCGCTTCTCTCTGGAGTATTCCTCGTCGGTGGCTTGTATGTTTGATATCCCATTCGCGCTACAGTGAAAGAATACTAACAATTCATGTCTAGAACCTTGATTTTCGATATCTTCCGCCTCAATGCCATGATCCGACTGGTTGAGCTAGGTCCTGATATTACCTGTGAGTATCGACCGTGCCAATATTCTTTCAATCTCTCGATCCATATCTCTAACCACATGTTCAGATAACCAAGTTCCCGTCATCGTGTGGACCTGTATCGAAGCAGCAGTCGGAATCACGGCTGCTTGTCTCCCCAACCTCCGCCCTTTGTTCAAGTTGAGTCATCGCAACTTCTGGTCTCAAATTCGTGCCTCCAACAACGTATCCGAGCTGTCCGACAGGACTCTTGTGGTCTCGAGCAATCCTGGAGGCACTATCACTTCCAACCATAAGCAAAGTGTCTCCTATGCGGTTCGGCAAACATTTGAGATGCCTCGATATGAAGACTACAAGGATGAGAAGCCGAGGGAAAGCGTCTAGGTCTGGGACTCCTTCGCTGGATGGAAGGCTCTATGCGGATTGCATAGGGGGAGTCAGGCGAAACAGGAACACATTGAAACACTCGTTTACATTCTTCTTTGTGATACCTTCATTAACATTATACACCTTTAGTCTTATTTTTATGGGCTTGTCTAAATTATAACATTACTTAATATTTGTCAAGGTCGTCTCCTTCAACTGAAAGCCGAGTTGCAATTTATTCTAGTAGTAGGAGGGTATCTAAGTAGTCCGGTGGCTGAGCTGATTTGCCGCCATTTTCCTATAACTCGCGGCCGTAGCAATTCTAGCCTTCTTACCCCAGACAAGAAGTGGAACAGGAATCAACAGGACCACCAATGCAATAACTGCAAGCAGAATATGCAAGTCTCGCAAGCCCATCCCTTCGACCCAAGGTGTCAAAGCAAAGAGTACAACCACCGAGAAGATATTTCGCATAAAAATCACTCCGACTAATGCGTCGCTAATGATCTAGAAGCGCTCAAATTAGAAGAGGACCCAAACGCTCGAAATAAGATCAGTACTCACGTCTTGATAGCAATCCATGAGATACGAGAGGGTGATACCGCTAATTGAAGCAAGTGTAAATCCAAAGAATCCAAATCCCACGGCAAGAAGAGCCCAGTGCACACCCTAGATAACGTTAGAATGTTCAAACGGCATGCTTTGGATATACTCACATAGGCAAGGCCCAAACCGAACATTAGTATCCCCGCGGGGCCAATAATGGCAAGAGGTAGAGCAAGCCAAAGACGCATCTCCGGTTCGTAAATACCGCCATTGCGTTTGGATAACCATAAAATAGATTTATCGCTTAAATGTCCACCAAAGGGGAAACCTAGAAGAGCGCCAACAAATGGAGCCACATTCATCAGCCCAACGCCAATGGCATCGAAGTTATAAGGCGGTATGATCATGTACGATGCCTGTAAGGAAGTCATGATCGCGAACCAGCTCAGCATAGATCCGTATGTGATAGCTGCATATGAAACGGCCGGGAAGGTAAAGAGCGCCACGATTGGTTGATAAAAATGCGGCCACAGAGCTTCGTTGGTGATGGTCACCAAAGCCATCCGCTGAAAATACGTCTTCATCGGAATATCCGGGTTGGTATGTACGGGGCTAGCGATCGTCTCATTGGCGCTCTTTGCATCTGCTGCGTCCCTATCTTTGCGTGATTTGGACGGTTCATCGGTCACTTGTACATCCGCGGTAAACTCCCGACCATCCAAATAAGGGACATATTTCGATTCCTCGAAAAGGAATACCACACAGAGGAGTGTGACACCGAAGAAAATGACACACCACCACCACATCCACCTCCACCCTTGTGCCACCACGATGTACCCCGATGCCACGGGGCCAAGGAATGCTCCTGCACACTGGACGACGACATACCAGCCGTTCATAGTGGCGTGCTGGTGCACGAAGAACATGTCCGCGATGGTAATCTGCACAACGATCTCGCTGATTGCGCCGCCGATGCCGGATATCAGGCCGCTACCCATTAGATCGCCGATCGTGTACATCTCGGCTTGCCAGATGGATGATGCGAGTTGTAAGGCCACGCTGAATATGTAGATTGGGCGTCGGCCGTACTTGTGGACCAGGGGCATAAAGAATATGCAGCCTATAGCAAGACCGCCGTAATTGACCGCTGCGTTGGCGTTTAGTAGATCGACTGAGAAGTTGAGCTCGTCTTGCATTGGGCCCCATGCTGTGAAGCCGATATCGAGTTGGACAAAAGTCCATAGCACAAAGAAGCTTACTAGGGTGAAGTTGAGGGCTTTGCGAGCTGTCGACCAATTAAGAGGATCGTTGGGGTCGGCTGATGGCGTGGGGAATAGTACCAGTTGGTCTCTGGATTGGTGGACTGGCTCTGTAAGTCAAGTTGTATCGGTATGGTTGGCGGTCACTTACTATCTTCTAGCCTGACTGTTCCTGGAGCCCAAATGGTCTCATCCTGAATACTGTCACTCTCCATAGTTGAGAGTTGGATACTGTAGGAAAGGATACTTGAGCGAGCATGATGGGCAAGGTGATCCTGCCTATTTAAGCAATCAGTGCCTTACACTTACGCAGATCCGCCTTATCAAGTGTGAATATCATCTGCGGGGAAACTCCCAGTGTACTCTCCAAGTGGCTCTGATATTAACTACTCGGTCGAATCAGGATGCGTTAAACATGCCGGCTTGGCGAGATTTTAGGAAGCTTCCCCGCTGATCATTTGATTATCTTTGATTCGCATGGACCTGCAACTCTAGGTATGGTATCTTCGACTTTTGTTTCAAGCTAAGTCTCGAACCCCTGCAAAACGCTAGTTCTATTCTAGGACATTGATAAGAGGAAAGCGACATTTGATTATACAGAGCAACGGACATTCAAGCAACACCCTTTCAAAGCAAACTATTAGAAAGCCTATTCAAGCGACCAGATATAAGCACGAAACATCTCTCGACTATAATCACTCCACGGGTAAACAGTAAGATCAAACTCCGGCTGCAATGTTCTCCGATTTCTCTCGGTCAGTCGAAATCCGTCCTCAAGCACATCATTACAACAAGCACACTTCGCCGTACAATGACCCCAGCCCTTCTTCCTCATCGGATCGGGCGGTTTCTCACAACATTTGCACTGACGACCACAGCACCCACCGCGCCTCGCACAATCCTGGCGCAACCACTCATTCCTGAGATGCCACTGCGGCTGCTTTCGAATCCACAGATATCCGCTCTTGATAGGGCCCACGGGACAGCCCGCTAGGAGGGTATCGTATATCCGCTCGAGGCGCGTGTACTCGTGGTCCAGAGCGATCAGCTCTTCGATGAAATCCGGCAGAACCAATTTGGCTGCTTCGTCGGAGCCGTTGTGGAATCTATGGATATTCTTCTTGACGAACGTCTCGCGTTGGGTGATTTCGCGCAGGCGCTCTTCTGTTTCGATGATCGATTGCGCCCATCGGGATAGCACGTCCCAGTCCGTCTCCCACCATACATGTCGCATGCCCCGTATGATCTGCCAGTTGACCCATCGGCCCGAGGTTTCTGCGACATTTTGTGCGAAGCTGAGGATGTCCTCGAGCGCGGGGAATCGGATTTGCTTGACTAGGTTCTTCATCTCGGGTTGCTTTGGGGATACATGGAAGATAATTGGCGGTGGTTTGAAAGATTCGACATGTTACATCACTTTTTATCATCCGATCAGTTGCTGCGAATATGGTTTGCGCGTTCCATGGTGGAACATTAGCTTGTATAGTTTATCCCTCATTTCAAATGTCACAGAATAACCAAATCGGGCCATGAAGGGAGCTCGGCCTTGTCATCCAGTGAGCGGTAGAATGTCGATAAGATCAGGAGATGCCGAGATAATCAAATGCCCCGAGATCGGCCTCCCGCATTGCATAAATCGGCCTCGGTGGGGTGTTGTATTTGGAGAAATGTCCCATTTTATCTTAACTCTGTAGCAGATCGACTGGAAATTCTCGACACTGTCTCCTCAAGAGTAATCATCAAACATGTCCGATACTACCACGGCAAAGCGCCGAGTGTTGGTGATTGGATCAGGTGGTGTGGGGACGATGGTCAGCGTCGCCCTCGAAAGATCCGGTCAGGCATCTGTCACGTCTGTTCTTCGTTCCAACTATGAACAAGTCGTCAAGCATGGATTCGAAATCGAGTCTATCGACCACGGAAAACTATCAGCCTGGAGACCAAGCGCAAGTATGTATCCTCGCAAAGTCGCGAGGCGAGAAATAGCTTGCCCGGTCCAGTCGAAGCTAACACATAGATAGTCGTCAACGCGGTTCCCTTGGGTGATCCCAACGCCCCATTCGACTATGTGATCGTCACGATGAAGAACATCCCCGAAGTGAACAACACCCCCAAGATCATAGCTCCAGCCATAACTCCAGGTCATACAACGATCGTCCTATTCCAAAACGGTCTGTATATCGAACCACCGATCATCGCAGCATTCCCCGAGAACGTGGTGTTGTCAGCGCCGAGTTTCATCGGCGCACATGAACACAACGGGCATGTGGTACACGACGACCACGACAAATTCCACATTGGCGCATTCCGCAACCCATCCGTGGACGCGGCGTTTGAGCGCGCCAAGCTCGAAGAGTTTGCGACGATTTATAACAGCAGCAAAGTCGTCGATGCGAATGTTGTCGATGACATCGTCTTCTATCGCTGGCGCAAGGTGCTTTGGAATGGGATTTTCAATCCCATGTGCGCTCTCACTCAGCTTGACAGTGCTGCAGTCCGGCTATTCGGCGGCGAGTATAGTTTGATAAGACCCGGTATGGCGGAGATGGCGGCCATTGCGAAGGCGGATGGGTATGACCTTGGCCCGGGGATTGTGGATGAGATGGTTGATGCTACTCCTCTCGAGTTGTGTTTCCGGCCTAGTATGCTAGTGGACGTGGATAAGGGAAATCCCATGGAGGTGGAGGTCATTCTGGGGAATGCTTTGCGTGTGGCGAGGGAGAAGGGTGTTCACACGCCGATCTTGGATAACACGTATCGGTTCCTGAAGCTCACCCAGGCCCGGCTGTTGGCTGCCAGGGGATTGATTGTCGTACCGAAGGAACTGCCGAAAGTAGACCTGATATAGTCATTAGTCTAGACCTCGTTTCGGTCTAAAGATATACAGTTTGCCAAACCAGGCTGTTGGTTTCATTGTTCCACAGCATTGGCAATAAGAAGGAGATGGTCACACGACATGCTTCCTTGTCGTTGCCTCGAGTCAGTAACCAATAAGTGACTGTTTGAACAACCGGTGAAGAATACGAACTAGGCATGTCGATCTCAGTGGCAGGCATACATGAACTCAGCAACAATCCCCCAGAAAATACTCCCTATACACTCACCAGATCGAAAATGGAGAAAATCGATATCCACACCCACTGCGTACCACCCTCTTATCGCGAGTATTGCCTACAGAGCGACTTCGCGGGCAGAGGTCACCCAGATGGAATGCCGGCGATCCCAGTGAGTGCCTGAACGGGAACAACCATCTAACTTTCACACTAAATACAAGAATTCAGGAATGGAGTCCCGAAGCACACATTGAACTAATGAACCAGCTAAAAATCAAGAAATCAGTGCTGAGCATGTCCTCTCCAGCAACACATTTAACCCCAGGAAATGACGAAGAAGGCCGATCTGTAACCCGACGGGCCAACATCGACATGTCCAAAATCTGCGCCGATCACCCAACCCACTTCCTCTTCTTCGCCTCTCTCCCCCTCCCAGACGTGGAAGGCTCCCTTGCAGAAATAGACTATGCACTGGACCATCTTGGCGCAGTGGGGTTTCAGATTCTGACCAATTCGCATGGCATCTACCCGGGTGATCAGCGCTTTACCCGGGTTTTTGACAAATTGAGTGCGCGAAAGACCATCGCCTTCTTTCACCCAACTACATGTTTTATCCGGCACGATGATGACTCCCTGGAGAAGGAGATACCGCTCCCTGGGGTCTCGGCGCCTATTATGGAGTTTATGTTCGATTCGACCAGGGCACTCATGAGTCTGCTTACCTCTGGGACCGTTGACCGCTGTCCTGGAATTACATTTGTGTCTTGCCACTGCGGTGCGACTTTTCCTCCGATAATGGAAAGGATCGCAGAGTTCTCGTCCATGGTTCCCGGTCCAGGGGATGGGATTAGTGGGGAGAGGATTAAGCAGCTGTTACGGACGCGTTTCTATTTTGATCTTGCGGGTGTGCCATTCCCGGATCAGATTCATGGTCTTCTGCGGCTGGTTGATTCGTCTAGATTGCTGTATGGGAGTGATTACCCCTATACCCCTGCAGCGTTGGCTGAGTCTCTGGCTAAGAGAGTGGATGATGGATTGCAGAGTGTCTTTGGATCAGAGACAACGAGACGAATCTTGCTTCATAATGCGCAGGATCTTCTTGGGGAGATGAGTGAGTAGCTTGGATTTGCAAGCGATTCATGGCCGAGGAAAGGCTGATTTAGACTCGTTGTAACCAATCATGATAGAAGTTCACCATGTTATTGTTACTAGCAGGCTATATAGACAGTATTCCGAATTGTAACCTTCAATAGACCTAGTCATCCGGACGCACAGGAATGACTGTTTCGTGATCAAGTCCAACCTCATCCCGGACAAAGTCAATAATTATCGTAAAACCGCTAGGGTGACGCAAGGATAGTTGCGTGGTTAGACTTTGAGCCACCTTTGTCTCACTAATTGTAGATAAATGAGAGATATCTATGACATCTTTAGGTAGTGTATTATCTATTGCGTGGCGGATTGAGAGCCGGCCAGTGGTAACAAACTCGACATCAAGAAAGATTGCACCGATCTGCACCAAAAAGTCGTGTTTGATGTCTTTTATATCAAGTGAATATGGCAGGTCATCTTGGTTGAGTAAAAGACAAGACGCATTGCTAGTTCTGCTAGACAGGCTCTTCGAAAAGCAGGTGCTCGCAATCCTGGTATCAGAGTCCGACTTAAGACTCAATAGGGGGGATACTGAAGACATGGAAGCTTTCTGCGTGGCAACTGAAGTATTGCTCGCTGTCGAGCCACTGGTAAGAGGTAAGAATGCAATGCTCTCCGCTCTATACTGCTTCGGAGGACGAGGACTTCGTTGAAACCCTGTGGCAATGGCTGAAATCTCCTTGGTCATGGATTTTAATATGACTTGAAGCTGTTGAGCCTCTTTGGAAGCCGAATAATCCAAATCAGGCAGTGTCCATAGGTCATAAAGCCGCCGGTGAGCATGTGAGATTCGGTATAACCCATGCTTCTGGATGAACATATCGCAGAGGTAGCATGCGGACTTGCTACATCCGATAAACCGCGGACTAGGATCATGAGGATGATTCGTGTAGTGAACAATCTGCTGCATCTCTGCGTGAACAAAGCACACTTTGGAGCCTACTGGCCTTCCTTTGGAAGCTTTCAAGGTTTCAATCGCAATATTGCTGAACAGGGGCTTGTACTCTGGACGTCTACCGACTCTGACAAGATCTCGACACACAAAGAAGTATCGCGCAAGCTTGTCAATTTGACGTATTCCACCTCTATCACGGAGTTGAGCTGAAATTTGTAGCCGCTGAAGGTGTTCCTCCAGCAATCCTGTCCCACCAACACCAGCCAATTCAGCACAGCTTTTTATCACATTTTTCTGATATTCCTTTCTCAAAATCTGTGGAACAGGTTTTTTGAAAGGTAAAAGGCAGGATATCAGCTGGCGCGCCGGTTGCACCAGAGATTGAAAACCTGCTGACTGACGATTGATAACGGAAATCTCATCAACAAATACCTGAACCTGTGAGAGTAGAAACGGCCTCAGTTTGTAATAGCGGCTAGGCTGTGGTAACCATGGCGGACGAATTCTGCTAAGAATTCGATCTTCGCGGATGTCAACAACCATGTCGAATATTTTGTCACGAAATTCACGCCGTCGCTTTCCTGTACAAGTCAGCAACCCTGAATATGACATTTGCATACAAGGAGCTACCTTCAGAAGCGTACTCGCTCACCAAAGCCATGGTTTTATTCAATTCCAGAACTCTTTTATCGGATGGCGTGTGGTTGCTCGCGAGGCAAATGACAAGCCCAGGTGCTTTCTCCTGGAGAGTCACAGCCGTCACATTTTTGGCTCCCTCTTCTGCCTGACCTAGGAAGGCAATATCATCGGCAAGTTGCATCTCATCCTCAGCTTTTAGCAAGTGCTTAGCTGATTGAGAAGGTGGAATTTCTATTCGATAAGAGTGTTCTTCGGATGGTTGATCCGTTAGTCCGCGTAGGTTTTGAACTGCTTGATGAAATTCCTTCGAGGGTATCATTTTGCTCGAGCAACCATGAGCATATGGCCTAGTAACAGATGTTAGAAGATTGCATCAGTGAGAGAAATGGGAATGGTCAGCGTAGTTTCGATGGAACACTTGGAAGCTAGCAACACACGCACACATCGGCTGAGTGCTCTCTGTGACGTGGCATACGAGTATGCGGATTCATGCATATTAGTAGCCTAGGCAAATGTCAACGCTCATGATAGGCTTGTTCGTGCAGGGTTCCTAACAAAGATACGTTTTTGGCTGTTAACTAAGGCCCAAGCCTGTGGAAGCCTGACAAACAAGGTATAAAGGCTTATCTCAGCCTTCTTCTGTTATTTCCATTCTCGTCCTCGGTATATCTTCGACCTCGATCACGGCCTCCGTAGCTCTAGTGAACCGTCGTTGGAAGTAGTACTGAACTTCAGGACTTGGGGATCTTCTCAAATGATTAAGACATCAGGTCTCTCACCGTCTACTGATGATTAGTACGACGTTGGAATATTGGCTTCCATACTTCCAACATCTTTTCAACGGCAGCAGCCTGGGCAAAGCGTCCTAGGTCACAGCTCAAGTCTAATAGCCTGTGTCATAAGGGCAGTCAGCTGATGATGTTATTAAAAATGTGCTCGGTGCTAGCAATTGAATATCCACTATATCTACTAACTTTTACCAAAATAGCACCTCAGGTGCTAGGATCGCACCCCAATTCCCATATCATACATTCCACATAGACCTCATCAATCCAACTGAACCCTGCATGCCAATAATAAAATCATATGCTCAATTATAGCTTCAACTGTAACAAGTTGCCGACCATCTCTCGGGCTGTGATGCGCGTGGTAGCCCATAACGTCGGGAAGTCCAGGGTGCTGGAGAAGGTATCGGCGTAACCGAAGAAGAGCATGGGGGGGATCCAGCCACGGGCGTACTCGAGCGCGAAGCAAGATTCATCCATCTTGTACTGCTTGACCTCGCCGCGGACTAGGTGGTGCACACTGCCGGCCGGGTAGACCTCCGGCTTGAACTCTCCGGGGGAGTAGGCGAGCTGGGTGCCCTGAAGGATGTGGAAGTAGTCGTCGGCGGTGTGGCGGCCGGTGTGGCCTTCGGTTCCGATAGCGGTGCCTGCGAAGATTGAATGCGATTAGAAGGGAAAAGGAATGCAGTAGACTTGATCGCGGGCGCGAAACTCACCGAAGATGATTAGGTACTCTGTGATACTAGCATGAATCACGTACATAGCGCCCATGGCGCCGCCGGCGTTGTTGAAAACCCACTCCTCCTGGGTGCTTAGGTAGTTGGGACCGACTTTTTGCTCCAGCTCGGCGACGATAAAGTTGACGACAGAGCGGGTGTCTTCGCCGTGGGCGCTGATAGCGCGCTGAGATACATCGTGTAGGTGCACCGGGTCGAAGATGTAGAATTGCTCCAGGCGCGCATCAAGGTATCGGTAGACGGCGGAGAATAGAGCCAGGAAGATAGCCAGGTAGCTGAGGCTCTTCAGGGAGAAGCAGCGACAGCGGCAGCCGGAGCTGGAAGACTTTGAGGATTTAGAAGGCATCTTGGGAATTGGGGAAGGGACCTGGAGTCTTTGAAAAAAGAGGCATGCGAGCACTTAAATTTAATTCCACCCCCTAGCGAAATCCCCGGAGTTCCACTTAGTGGGGCATATAAGCAAAACAATTGAAAATAGTCAAAACGCCCTCGCTTTTGTTCGATTCATTACTACTGTATATCAGTCAATTCCTTGCTCATTGTCTCATGCTTAAGTCAATACATGCACCTATATGCTGGTGATATTGCAATCCTATGGTTTGTAGTGTTTGAATGTGTTTGTATATGTTTGTATGTGTTTGCACTGTTTGTTTTACATCAACAGGCCATGCCGGATGCCCACAATCCGAATTATCGTCTCTTCTATTGGCCAAGCGTCCTCGATATCTCCTTTCCCCGACGATGTTCCGTACGTCTGCACCTGTCAGGTAGGACAGTCCAATCATCTCCAATGACAGCTCACCTCGGATCGCCGTGATCCGTATGCGGGAACTGCCGCAGTCCGCGGAACCCGATGCCAAGATATATCAAACTACTCCCCGAGGTCATCCTGTTGCTCAGATTCTTAAACATTGAACTTGGTATGCTTGCATATGACGGACTGTCGATGCTAGGACACATGGCTAGTTTGACTGTTTCTATCAGTATAAAGAGATGGGAGATGGGTATCCCGAGGTTTGACCTGGATTGAGACGATATATATATTCTGAACATTGTACAACATACATATCTAATCTCGACTAGAGTCCACCGTATATCGATGAATGTATCGAATCCAAGCTTGAATTGTTTGTGTGATATCAGAGAAGCTAATTATCTAAAGTTGACTTGGGATGATATCCAAAATGACGAGGACCTGCGCTATGCTGACGGACCGACCCTTGCCTATATGACCACGACATAGCTGAAAGGAAAAGTCGCAAGCAAAATGATTGCACCGTGTAAGATAAACAGCCATGAGTTTCGGGTTTTCTGACTTGCTCATGACGGTAGCCACAATTGCCTCTCCGTCTGAGTCCTCGTCCCAATCGGCCCATTTTCAATTTCCGAAGATGCAGGGGACTGCTAGACAGAACATACCTTATAGTGCCTGACTGTGAGCGCGTACGAATGTGTAACATCCATACTTGAGCTACGTGGCTTGCCATGAAACCATCCCCTGTCGAATGATGGCAAGAACCATTCTAATTTGGTTTCTGCATGACTTGAATTCAACGGTCAAAATGTCGATCATCTCCCATTGAAAAACGGTCGGCATTCCGCAATCTCTGACTAGGAGCAAGTCCTCAGCCGAGACCTTTGGAGTCAGCTACCATCCATTTTCTGGGGAGTCTTATTTTGTGTTATTTGCGGGGTGCATGAAGAACAGGCGTAAGTGACGATGTGGCTGATTCGTGAGTACATACAGCATATGTATCCTTCAAGTCTCTAGATTTGACCATCACATATGACACGCAAATCAATTACCACTGACCTGGCTCCCGCACAAAGCTAGTCACACCACGGAAAAACTTCGCAAATGCAAACCGACAATTTATGCTTCAGGGGAATCTCGAACAAAGCGGATACCTTTTAAGCAACGGCCTCCGATTTGACCGCGTTCTAGAAGCAGTAATCCCCCGCCCCGCTCTGCGACGGCCTCACGTACGGTGCCAACGACCGGAGAGCTTTCCGAATCCGCAGATGAGTAGATAATGCCCTGCATAATGAACCTCGAGTCGTGGAAAAATTTGTCCACGATGCACGTCATGGCAGCAGCCATCTATTCCTTCAATCGCGGCTGGCCGTGGCCCCGAGCAAGCTTTTGATATTATCCGGCTGTTGTGGAGTCCCGGCCATGAGCTCGACGGAGATAATAACTCGTACCAATATGAAATGTGAGACAGGAGTCCTCCGCACTCTATACGGAACATGAATCCACCGCCGGTGCAGGTCATTCCCCAAACGGACGACTCCCGAGAGAAGATGGCATGTATAAAACAACCCTACAACCCCAGTTCCACCCTGTGAGACTCCAATTTCATACCAAGATACTCCCATCTGTCCCTGAGACCAACACCCGATCCCAAAGCCACTATGAAGTCCTTCATCGCACCCGTGTCCCTCCTCTGCCTGGGACTGTCGGCCATGGGCAACGCCGCCAGGGCCCCAGTCAAGGCCATCGCTCGTCGCGCAGACTTCTGCGATCAGTGGGGCACAACCACAACGGACACCTACATCCTCTACAACAACCTCTGGAACGAAGCCCAAGACCCCTCCGGCACGCAGTGCACAGGGCTAGACTCGAGCAGCGGCAGTAAGATCGCGTGGCACACCTCGTGGTCGTGGGCCGGTGCCACGAACCAGGTCAAGAGCTACGCCAGTGCCTCGCTGCAGTTCACTCCTAAGACGCTGAGTGCTATTAGCAGCATCGAGTCCGTTTGGGACTGGAGGTAAGCCTGGTGCACATGGTTTCTTTAGAACGAACAGCCCTAACCATCTCTGAATAGCTACTCGACTACCGATATCGTCGCCGATGTCGCTTACGACATGTTTCTCAGTTCTACTGCTGACGGCAGCGAGGAGTACGAGATCATGGTGTGGCTTGCGGCTCTGGGCGGTGCGGGCCCGATCTCGAGCACTGGCAAGGCCATCGCGACGGTTACTATCAATGGTGTCGAATGGGATGTGTGGGTTGGTCCCAATGGCCAGATGACTGTTTACAGCTTCGTCGCCAAGTCGACCGTTACGAGCTTCTCCGGTGACCTGTTGAAGTTCTTTACGTACCTTGTCAACGACCAGGGTCTGAGCAACAGCAAATACTTGATTGATGTGCAGGCTGGCACTGAGCCTTTCACTGGTACTGCTAAGTTGACTGTTTCTTCTTACTCGGTCGCTGTTGTTTAATTGTCAAGTGATTCCATGGTTTTAGCGAAGGGCATGACTGGGACTTGGGAAGATAGTTGGGAAATGTAATCAATCACAATTCACCAAGTACCGGATCGATAATCACTGCCAATCATAGAACCACCATTGTCATAATGCCAAATACACACATTAGTATCAGCCTGCGACTCGTACTCCGCATATGCACGGTCGCATTCTTCGCGTTGCATCTCACCCATACGATTTCTAGCCGCCACCCAACACTGAAACAAACCCTCCAATCCCGAAACCGCCCCATTCCAACACCGGGCCCAAAGCTCTGAGAATCCCAACGGCGCCATAAAATGATGGAGCCTGGGCTGGATATGCGGATCACCTTTGGGATCACCTGCGGGATCGTGGGATCACCCGTGGGAACAAACGTTGGAAACCTGCATAGAGCACTCTTAACCAACCATCCAAATCACCAACAGCGAGACGCCCGATGAAATGAGGCGCAGTATCACTTCCAGCATCCCAAATTCGGGACAGGCGGAACGGCGGGTGACGGCCCGCGCATGGGGACGTCCGGGGTAGTGAAAAGCAGGAGCGTAGTGCGTATAGAAACAAATCTAAGAATAACGAAAGAAAACGATAAAATTAGAGCTAAACGTCATAGCGCTTCCACGATGTTGGGATTGTAAGCGCTGGGCGGGAAGTCGGGAGTGGAAAGAGGATGGGCGCTTATGTAGATGCATATGCAGTGTGCTGCCTTTTTTTTTTTAGAGTAGCCAACACGCTAAAAGAGCTATGCACGGAACATTGCATGCATCCCACGGCTCTACTGCATGGTCGGGGAGAGGCAAAAGATAGCCGGGTGGTTGGGAAGAGGTTGGAAATCGATAGATCCAAGAGGAAAAAAGAAAAAAGGGTCCGGAATGATGTGACCTGCCTCATGTGAGGTGGATGTCGGATAATTCCAACAGGTTGGGATCGTTTTATTTTCTTTTTCCCCTCCAGGAGTGGCATGTCTCCCCCTCGAACACGCTATATTCGCGCCGTTGGATTGGGATCCAGTCAAATGACAGGACAGCCAAGTCTGTCAAAGGGACCATTTCACAGGGATTCCGGCGATCAGATCGGAAACTGACAGGTTTCGAGTGATTGGGCACTAACGCGAGTTCACGGCGCCAACCTGAAATCGCCACCGTGTTTTTTTCAGCTGAAGTCTGTTCTTGGTGATGATTGACTAGATAATAGATCCTATTTTGGTATGGAATGGAATGACCCATACGGAGTAGATCTGAGACGGTCATGCGTTTCATAGGAATCATTGTGAAGGGCCCATATTCTAGATCCTAGATCAGCTGTATTGTTGGACGTCGCCCTGTCCCAATACGCCCCTTATTTTAGTTTCATGTAGAATGTAGAATACTATCACACCGAGTCCATCGTGTCCAGCCAGTCGATGCAATCCAACAGCCAAAAACCAACCGTCCAACCCTCTATTGGATGAATCTAGGGATAATAACGCACAGGTACAATAATAGTCTATCAACTGTACATCATCCGTTCTCTCTCGACAAATCAGCTCACTTTCCCTGTCAGACTCCGCGCGCCAAAAAAATAGGTAGCATCTTAGATCCAACTATGCAGGTTGGCTCTGTTCTATCCCTGTTGGCTATCTTCTCTCTTCTAACTGGATGGCCGTTCCTTGCAGGGGAGAACCGTATCCCCTCTCTCCTCCCACTCTGGCGCATACCAGATACTATAACTAGAGAGGCATTCCACCCAGATTCTTCACGAGATTCATCATGCCCAACGTCGTCATCCTTTCCTTTGATACCTGCCTTTTATTTTGATCCTTCGCCTTTTCTATCCTGAATTTCCCCCCCTCAGAGACATTATTTCCAATCTATTGCTTACTTGCAGTGAACTGTGGATTGTGTCTCTCTCGAATAAATTTCGGGTTTCACTTTGGAGAAGTTCTCAGTTAGGGCTATCGATAGGCGTTGACACGACAACCCCAACTATCCCATCCTTACTGCAACATTCTTTTTTTAAAGAAAGTACTTGATCTGAAAGTTATCCTGCCGGCCAGGAATTCACTTTCTCTGTTCGCCATTGTGTCTCTTGGTCTTTGATCGGATTTCTTTGCTTCACCCTGTGTCGACTCCCTCTGATACCGCCAACATACAAAGACCTTTGTCGTTTGCCCAAAGATTCCTGAATTGGATTGTCCCGAGACAATCTATCTGTGGCCTTGATCACCTTTTTGATCTCAGTTCCGCATATTTAACTCCCATCCTCGATCTCTTCTCCGATATCCAACTTCTTGTCATATCCCTCTATCAAGATGGACTCAGCATCACTCAACCGAGCTGCTCTCAATGAGTTTGTCACTGTCCGAGTGACTCGCGAAATGATCACACACCTGGCTCAACAGGCAGCCCAGGTCATCCGCTGTGAGGCGCATGTGACCAACACGGTCAACCAGAATGGCCAACCTACACCACCATCCACCCCTCCAATGGACCCCTCTGACCTGCCTGCTCTTCCCCCGATCGAGACCTTTATCGCGTCACTTGTTGCTCGGTCGCAGGTGCAGGTGCCCACTCTCATGAGCTGTCTCGTCTACCTCGGTCGTCTTCGATCACGTCTGCCACCAGTCGCAAAGGGCATGCGCTGCACTGTCCATCGCATCTTCCTCGCCTCGCTCATCCTGGCCGCCAAAAATCTGAACGACTCCAGTCCCAAGAACAAGCATTGGGCCCGTTACACTGCAGTGAAGGGATTCGAAGGTTTCGGCTTCTCTCTCCCTGAGGTCAACCTCATGGAACGCCAGCTCCTCTTCCTTCTGGACTGGGACCTGCGCATCACCGAGCAGGATCTCTTCACTTATTTCGAGCCTTTTCTCGCCCCCCACCGCCAGCGCTTGATAGCCCAAGAGCAAGAACGTATCGCCGATGAGGAATATCTCCACAAACAAGAGCAACACCGCGAGTGGTACAGCATCCCATTTTACAACCTGTTATCATAACAAATACTAACCCACCCCTAGGCGCCGTCTTCACTCATCAGCAGACCTACTGGCCAGCCGACTCCGCCGTCAAAAGCTCGAGGCCCGGAGCGAGACGCGTCGCGGAAACGACAACTCTCTCCGCCGTCTCCCTAGCCACGTCTCCTGCCCAAGCATGCACAACACCCACTACGCCGCACAGAATATCGCCGAGCACGATCGCTACAACCCCTACCAACGCCAGCGTGCATCCCCCAGCCGAACCACCCGCTCTGTCTCCCCACCATCCGTCGGCGACGTGCCAGCCCTCTCCCACGCCGAGACCTTCAACTCTCTCTGCTCGCGCTCGTCCAGCATCGCCCCAAGCTCAAGAGGCACACCAGCTTCCATCAGTACGGTTTCCTCGAACGGTGCCGACGACCTCATGCTCGCGGACCCCAACCGCAGCCCGTCATCCCTCTCACTGAACCACAGCTACGTGGACGTCGCCCACATCGAATCCACCAAGTCCTCGGAGCCTATCCGCCAGCCATCCAAGAAGCTGAAGACCAGCAACCACGCGCACAGCGGCGGCTTCGTGGCTCGCTTCCTTGCCTCCGCGACCGGCTCTTACATGGGCGGTCGTCGGTCTCACTAAATCGAGCCGGTTCTCGATCTCTCCTGCCTCTCTTTCTTTTTCCCCTTTTAGCAATCTGATCTTTACTTAATCACCGATACTCCCACGCATCTCTCCTTTTTCCTATCTCACTGACTCTTACGCTCTCACTCATACATGCCCATATCTCTTTTATTTCCTTTTCAAATTTCCATATTTCCGCTTTTGAAAAAGCTGTTCACCCCGTTGATACGCACATGTTGCCAATACCCCTCGCTCACACTTACTATTTGATGTTCATATATGTCATCTAACACCGTGTATGAGCTTGATTACGCGAAAGTTGTCATTCTGCTTTCTTCTCGTCTTTTCCTTTTCCTTTTCATCTCTCTTATCTATTCCACTCGTTACTGCATCTGCCTCGTGTCGGCATTTGTATGTCTGTCATCTAGTCTTTCTTATGCTTGTGGTCTTCCGTCTCACTCGTTTTTCATTCTCTGGATGCTATCCAACAATCTCTACGCTTACAATTCTTTGCTCGCGCTCAACGTACCTTGTACTTACTTCCTACTTGGACAATGAAACTCAACTTGATTTTGGATCTCGCTGTATAATACTGTAATATAAGTCTCACTACGGTCATAGTCATAAGTACGTAGACCCCTAGACTTTTAAGTTGGGTTTGGGTCGAGACCTTCGAAGGCGGTGCTGAAGTCACCCCTTGCGTAGTTTTCTAGGATCCTATATTGCATATCCCTTCATAACCCCTCATCCCCCTTTCCCTTGCGAATAATCATCCTTATCCTGAGCCTCAATCCTACCCTTATCTTCCTTATCTCCAGAGAAACCGCCCATCATCCACGCGGCCAACCAGGGGCACATGCCAAGGCTGTACGCGTACTCCGTACAAATTCAAACTATGTATCGGAATTACTATACCATATCTAAAGAATTTTAGATAGAAAATTTAATATCTGGATTATACATCCACTTCTAGCAATAGTACACTGAATCACGCTGCGTTGGCGTTTATGGTCACGGACCGTTTTAGCGGGAAAAAGAAGGAAGTTGGGCAGATACTGGGGTGAAGTGTGAGATCTAGGGAATCTATGAGTTTGAAATTGGAGGAATTCGTTGGCAGTTGGTGCTGAGATTCGCCTGGTGCCTTTGTTTCCTTGTTTGTCAGGTACAGATGTTTAAGTAGCTTCCTCCATCCTTCTCTCTTTGCTTAGATCACAAGGCCATCTCCATATCTCTCGTTAACATTCTCCTTTGCAACACCGGTCTTTCAAACAGTCAATCTATGAAGAGGAAAATGAGTGAGATATATGAGGAAGATGCTGGGTCCTTCGCAACAGCGTAAGTAGGCTTTAACTCGGGAGTGGCTTCCACGCTGTCTAACACTCCATTACCTAGAACGCTTCCACTCTATCATGGTCCTGTTATTAAAATCCGAATCCAATCTATTGGTTGTGAATACACAATTTCCAAAGGACTCCTCTGCGCGGAGTCGCCAGTTTTCACAGCCATGTTCGAAGGTCATTTTCGAGAGGCTCAAGAGCAGACAGTGGACCTAGAAGAAATGGAAGGCGTTGTCTCTAAGCAAAGCCTTGAAGCCCTCCTTCAATGGCTATACCTCCGTTTTGTCAAGTTTGATATCAAAGACACCAAGAAGCGTATTTCAGCTGCTATAGAGCTCGCAAGACTCGCGGACAAATACCAGATTACCAGGATAGAATCCCAGACGGCCCGATACATCAAGAAGGCTATTGCCAATCCACATCCCGATGCCAAGGAATACTACCGAAATTTCGACACAAGCGACAAGAACACCCGCTGGCTGGGAGAAGAAGACATTATTTCAGGAACTCTCCTGCGCAACGGCCATCCCGTACGCCGTACTTTAGCCGCAGCCTCCGTTTGCTGGTATCTCCAAGGCAAACGGCACACATTTACCGACCTAGCTCAACAATATCCCCAATTTGGAGCTGATCTCCTCCATGAAGTGAGGCTAGTCCTGGATTCTCTGTACACAAACAGTGCTACTTTCAACGACCCTATTAGCGGGGAAATACGGTATCTGAATCAGGCCACGAAGCGTTGAGAGAATGTGGGTCTAGCGAATCTAGGAGTTTTCGAAATTGAATGCGCAGTTGTGCTAACGCCTTGATCTTTGTCGTATGGGATAATCGTTGTTACTTGGGACAGGACTGATATGCCTCTACGGTCTCGCTAAGAGCCTCGGATGGGCTTAGGGGGTATATATCGCTATTGCTAAGCAACCGTATCGACATCAGATGAGTCTAGGTAGAAATGTTGCAATGAGCGCAGATTGCTTTTCTTTCTCAGGCAGTTTGACAGGTCCCTTTCTTTGTAGTCTTAAAGGCCTCTGTTCCTTTATTTCCATCAAGCCATCAACATTAGTCAGTTCTCTAGATTGCCAATCTACCATTTACTACTGCAAAATGAGTGAGCCTCAGAAGACATGATGGGAGCCTCCGGACCAAGCATCGAACATTTCGTAACGTCGTACTATGGTCCTCGGGAAACGGCATATCACGGCTCTCTCGTTATGATACAAATCCTAAGCAGCTGGGAATACACTATTTCGAAGCAGGACGGTCTCGTCGGGTCAACCTAGGGAAAGGAGTCTAGAAGATAGAAGATGAAATCAAAGGTCTAGTCAATAAGCAATGACCATACCGGTCGTTCTATTGGGCTAACGGCATAGTAAATGGCCAAGTCAAATAGCAAGAAATTCCAAATCCAGGCAATGCTAGCTGTTTCGTTACTCGTGATCGTCTCAATGCAAATCGCCGCCGTGACAGCTCTATAGAGCCGGGCTTTCCCAGTACTCGCGCTTGATCCTCATAATAGCAGAGTGCTTGTGCGGGAAGCTGACCTCGCCTTCTTTGTAGAAGCCTGCTTCTTGGAGGTAATTAATGAGTCTGGGAAAAGTCAGCATATATCCTCCTTTCCTTAGCAAGTAATGTCCGTAACTCACTTGAGGTTATCAATCCGGGGCTCCAACACCACAGATTCAGTCCGCATATCCGACAGGAAGCAGTGGTGCACCAACGCACTCAGCCAGACCGCAACCCGGTGTGCACCCCGGAACTCCTGTTCCCCAACGAGCAGATGAATGCCCCGATCATAATTATCCACGTGGTCCACAAGTCGTCCCAGCCGATCTTCCTTGACCCAGTAGATCTCAAAATATCCAAACGGCTTCCCATCCCAACACCCGATGACAGGGAAGCTGTGGCGGCTAGTCAGACTAGCCAGCAAGAACTTCTCCTGCACGGACTTATCCCCACCTTCACCCCACATCGCCTCCACCCGCGGGACATTCATCCACCGGTGCATCGTGTCCAGATCCGAGGAAATATTCTTGGTGAGATGGTGCGTGATGCTCGTCACAGCCGTGCTAACAGGCGTCCCAGGCCGACTAGCAGTACCCCCGGGGTTCATCGGCACAAACGCCACGCGGAATGAGAGATACTGGCTCAGGCTGGGGATGTAGCGCACGTAGAAGACCTCGCCCTGGTGCGGCGGTTTCGGGCGCACGGGGTGTCGCACGCCGTTCGTGGAGGTGAACTGCATCGGCGGCGGCGGGTAGTATGTGGGTAGATGGCTGCCGGACGTGAACGGTCCTACTGAGGTGAATGGGCCCATATTCGCCGTGTGGAAGATTGCCTCCATGGGCGCGAGCACCAGCGGCGCTGCGGGGGGCGGACCCTCTGACGACGCGGGAGACGAATTCCGTGACCGGTAGGGAGGTGTTGATGGACGGCCTCCGCGGGGCGTCAGTGTGAAGAGGAATAGGCGTGGGTCGAGCTGCCAGAAGCTGCGCCGGCTGACGAACATCGTTGACCAGCTGCTTGAGTCGCGGGATTCCATGGGCTGGAGGCCGACGGAGGAGTCTTCGGTCGCTATTAGTCCCATGCGCTCGAGCTTCTGGAGAAGGTTTCGGCCTTTAAAGATTCCTTCGCGCTTGATGTTGACCCGCCATACGCCTTTTGGTCGTCCGTCGCGCGGGGTCATGCTCGATGCGACGGTCTCCACGTGCAGGTCTGGTTCGGGCTCGTGGAAGTACCACCATAGAGTTGCCCAGAGCATCATGGCAATCTGGCGCGTGGGTGAGGTCACGGGCTTGAACTCGCTTGATGGTGGGTTGACTATATAGGAAATGTAGAGGGAATCGCGGGCTAAGGTGGGGGTAGTGAAACGGGAAAAATTATCGTCACCGTCGCGGGGGTTCTCTGAGTCTGGTTCATCTCCTTGCTCGTCTGTCTTGCTCGCATTCTCGGTGTTGATCATAATCGTCCAACCTGGGGGGAAGGTGGAGTTCTGTGCGTTGAAATCGGCGGATTTGAAGGTGACTCCCCCGAAAACGGGCGATACATTAAAGGAGAGGCCATTGGGCAAGTAGCAGGTGGTGTTGCGCATGGCGAGGATGTCTGGGGGGTGTATTCTGGGGAGCTATAAGGCTTCTTATAGTAGAGCAGACTTTTTCTTTATCGTTGCGTTGGCCCCTCACTGCGCGGGGAAGGGAAGACTCGTGCGCCAACAGCAGCTAAAGCAGCTAGAGCAGCTAGGGCAAGATCCAATACCAATAGCTGGATTGGTAATGCGCAGCGGGAGATTGCTCAGAGAAACGTTTGAAACGAGAGGGAAGATTGTCCGAGAGCCTTGGAGGTTACATACCCGATGACGCAGACCATCAGCCCACTATCATTGGAGGTTATGTGCAAGCTTTTACTTTGATATTCAGGTTCTATGATAGAGATGATATTGTTCCTTGTTCTCATTTCCAGCTTCCAAATGCTATTTGATAGTCATACCATGTGTATTCTGACATGTATTCCAGTTCAAGTTTCTCTTAATTTAAAGATATTGTGGCACCTTCGGCAGATCTGTTGATCTTCGAAATTTCCCTGGAACAACAGACGCCCAGAGAAAAAAGATCGGCCAATAGAAAGCAATGTAAAATAAGCAAAAAAAGGTATCGAATCAAAAGTCGTTAAAAGTGCAAAGGGCAAAGTGCAAAGCCAAGTCGCCCAAGTCATTTAGAAATCCTCCACGGTGGTCCCCAACTTCCGCTCCCGCGCCAAGCGCACCAAATCTCCGCCAGTCACGAGATCCATCAGTCCAAGTCCAACCGATTTGTAGATGACGTTCCCCCGTTGTGCCCACTCACGCAAGCTCTGTTCCTCATCCACGGTCGCCGCTTCGCGAGCGGCATTACGAACCATCAGTAGCTCGCCTAACTCGACAACTTGTTTCGGTTTAATTCCGGCTTGAATAATCTCGCCCGCCTCTTTCATGGCAGCGTCGAGACTATCCACTAGAATCACACCACTGCGGTGGATATGCTTGTGCCAGTGTCTATGTGGACCCTGCACAGTGACCTCGTCTCGGAGGATATCTGGGTGGATCTCGGCCATGTGTGCCTTGTATGATCCAATCGCACAAATCAACCGGCCCTTTTGACGGCCTTCGCTCGAGGTGAGGTACTCCGCTGGGAAAAGTGGCACCGGAGAGGGTGTACAGCAGAAGATCACGTCGGCCTTGCGCACGTGATCCTTCAAGATGCGACTATACTCGCCGAAATCAGTACTGACCGCGGAAAACTTGACGTCCCCGCGCCATTCGCTGTTTTCAGGCCCATAGATATCCTGCAGAAGTTTGGCTGCGCGGTCGAAAGAACGATTTACAATGTATACCCGGCGGATGTCGTCACCGCGGAGAACCAATGACAAGCGGATGTGCCAGTAAGCCTGGGTGCCCGCTCCGAATACAAGAAGAGTGCGCACCTTCTTGCGCCTGTTGAACATCATCAGCGAAGCCAAGGCCGTGCGGAATGCCGTCAGCTCATGGGCGTTGATCAAGGCGAATGGCAGGCTTTCGTCGTCTAGGAGTGTCACACTGCCGCGCGGCGATGTGTCACGAGTTCCTGCGCCCGGCCAAGCGCCAAGAGTTCTAGAAATATTCGAAGTGACATTTTGCTGATTGACACAACCAGTGAGGAGTGTGGGACTATCCGTGCTTGATCCTGTCACACTGCTGTCATTGTTGGTGGTGTCCTCCTTGTCTTCTTGGGAGCCCAAAGATAAATCACTCAAATCAGAGGATATGGAAGCCACCGAGTTCCGGAAAGAGCCTCGTCTGCGCGAGGAAATCTGGTCCTTCTCCTGTGCATCCACGGTCTCCTGTTCATTAGCGCAGCCGGCAGCGCCCCCGTCCTGCAGGGAAATCATCTTGATGCCAATGGTCTTGCCCGTGCTGGCGGGCATGAAGAGGGTGGTGCAACCATTCTGACGAGTAATGGCAGTTCGCTGGGGTTGGTAAGCTGCCGAGCAGCCTTCCTCCTGAGATCCACTGGAGTATTCTCGTAGAGCCTCGCCGAGATTGCGCTGCAATTCAAGGATCTCGTCGCGAGAGAGCGCGTGCAGCAGCTCGCGGAGCTGGGTTTGGGAGAGGACGGTGAGAGTCATGTAGGCGGTCCGTACTGGAAACACAAAAAAACAGAGAGGTGTAAACGAGTAGTGGAGGAAAGGGGAGAGAAAGTCTGAGACCTGCGAAGAAGTTCCAGTTAGCCAAGACAGTCCGAGTCCAAACCGCGCCTCTGCCAAGATAAGAGTGAGATAACTTACAGCCTCTTATTGTACACACAAGTTATCCGACGACGAATTCTAATGGAGTAAGAGACAAGGTACGGGAGTACTGTCCACCAAAATAACTCGGCCGGAAAGAGCAAGTCGACTTCTCCGAGGATGACGACAGTTGCAACTTGTGAGGTGGGGGAATAGCGGGGCCGATCAGCAAAGTCGATAAAAAAAGACAACAGTGTTGTTCATTCGACAATTAAGTCCAGGCTTAGATCTTGACAGCCATAGAGGGTCTTAGGCAAAAAAGGAGTGAGTGTAAAGATTGAAGATTGAAGAGATAGCGGGAATCCCTGCTGCATTGGGGAACACGAAGCCAAGCCCAATGCGGTAATCTGTTATACGCCACTTGTAAGGCGGAGTTAGCGCCTGAGGCAAAGATCAGATATTATTTGTGAATAATGGAATGAATGGACTTGTGCTCATTGCAGGTCTCGAAGATAACTCATGCAAGGAATTGGGCTTTATATTTGACCCTCCGTCCAGCAATGGGTGATATTCTAAGTAATCTTGCATAGACATGGGGAAAGAAGCACGGGGAATCATTCGAGGGCAATTGACGTATCATCTCAAATATAGCTTCAAAAGATAATCCTCTAAACATGTTCTTCTGCAATTTAAATAATTAAAACTAATCTCGGCATCGGCTGCCGCCAACGTCGGACACCTCACCCGAGATCCCATATGAGTCAAATAGATAGCCAAACCCCTCAACTCAATCAACTCTCCGTCTCTCTCGGTATTCAGAACATCATGGCCTCAGGACAGACTCTTGGATTCATCGGATGCGGTAAGTAAACATAACATTCATAGTAAAACTACCACTAACAAACCCCAAGGTAACATGGGAGGCGCCGTGCTTAAAGGCCTCCTAAACAGCGTATTCTCAGCCACAAGCACTGACCCAACACCAAATCCTATAACTCGCTTTATCGCCTGCACAAAAACAGCCAGTTCCGCATCCCGTCTCGAAAAAACAATTGCCCCCGAGCACCAACAACTAATCAAAATCGTCTCTGACCAAACCGTCCAAACAATGCAAGAAGCCGACGTAATCATCCTCGGCTGCAAGCCCTTCATGGCCGAAGCCGTTCTAAGAGAAGAAGGCGTCCGTGACGCCCTCGCTGGGAAACTCGTCATCAGCATGCTCGCAGGCCAATCATGCGAAACCCTAACCCGCCTCATCAACCCAGATCCCGGCGCTGCAGATCAACCGCACCTCATGAAAGCTATCCCAAACATGGGCGCGCAGTTCGGCCAGTCGATGACGATCATCGAAACGCCGGCGCCGTCAATCCCACCAGCCATGGTTCTGGTTACGGAGTGGATTTTCAAGCATGTCGGTGCGGTTAAGTACCTAGGAGCTGAGCAGATCGGGTTGGCGACTGTGCTTGTTGGCGCGACGATGGCGACGTTGACGCTGCCGATTGAGGGGTTGCTGGATGGATGTGTTGCGGAGGGGTTTAAGCGGGCGGATGCGATGGAGTTGGTTTTGCAGGGGATCAGGGGATTGTCTGCTGTGTTGGAGTCTGGACAGCATCCAGCGGTTGTTAGGGAGAGTATTTCCTCGCCGAGGGGGTGTACTATTCAGACACTTTTGAGTCTTGAGAAGGCCGGGACGAGGTCAGATTTTGCTGAGGCGATTGTTAGAGGGAATACACATTTGAAGGAGAAGATGTAGATATAGATCTAGAGACGAGCTATGCAGGATATTAGATTCTGAAATAGACCTATACAGCCAGTGTATGTAGGTGTGACAGTTCTCTATAGATAAACGATGGATTGAACCGAATGCACTCGAACGCCTAAACTAAATTTGACACATTCATCCCCAGATATCATTGTCATCCTTAACCAAATCATCTTCGTTCAACACTTGCAGTCCATTCCCACGCTCCTCCCGCTTCCGCTGTCGCTTTGTGACTGTGCGCCCAGGAGTAAAGGGCGTCACGGGAGTAAATGGCATGTACGGACTGTATGGTGTAGCCATGCCCGTGAGAGGACCCGCCCGATTCTTCATCGGTCGTTCCAAGATAGTGGTCTTGGTAGCCGGGGCACTTTGCGGCGGGTATGCCTCCCGGAAAGGCAGGTTGGACGGGACAGAAGAAGAAGGGGAGGGGGTAGACAGAGTGAGAGGCGCAGGTGGGCGGGCACGCCCAGGAGCAGGCCTGATTGACTCACTCGCATGCTGCTGCGGCACCATTGGAGGAGGACCGGGGTTGTAAATCCGCGGGGAAAGAGGCGGGTTTTCAAACACATAGGCTTGAGGCGTGGCCACTGCTGGCGAGGCTAATGGAGAGGAGATAGGCATTTTGCGGATAGCCAGACGCGGCGAGCGCACTTTGCTCGGGTCTGGATTGGCGCGGGAGCCTGGGTTGAAGAGCTTGGATAAGCGGGAGCTGTTGAATCCTTTGGTGGGGGACTTCAATGGAGCTAATGGTGCTAATGAGTTCTCTGAGCCGTGGGAGCCGCGATCAGTGAATGGATTTGTGAGTTGACTGTCCGGTGATTGTGCATGGAAGTCTTGTTCGCGGACCGACAGATCAATTCCGGAAGCCTTCTGGGCGTCATGTTCCATAACTGCCGCATAGAGCATCTCCATATCATGCTGGGCTCGTTGACGGTCATTCGCGACGATGGACTCGTCGATGGTCACCATGCTGCCGTTCATAGATGGTTGGGACGGCCTGGTACTTCTGTTCAAGGACCCCCAGGACCTGAATCCACTTGATCTGGGACTAGGGAGATTGTGTGACACTGGAGAAATCGGGCTGGGATCCATGCTGACAGGAGGTCTGACAGGCTTCAGAATTTCCATATGCAGTGTATAGTTGGACGACTGAACTGTCCGACGCAGGCGACGTCCAACGAAGATAAGTAGCGCTAGGAGGACAGCGACGAAGATCACATAGGCGCCCGCAATGCTCCCAATTTGAATAGCTAGTAATGGCTTGTCCACTGTTGGGGGCGCAGCGGGTTTTGATTGACGTTGGACCTTCTGGGCCTGAACCGAGGTACTATGTACAATCAAGACAGTAAAAAGGATAGGCAAAAAGAAGACAACCGGGGTAGTCATTTCCGCCAGGATTATAAAAGAGATCGGGGGTGAGGAGAAGTAATAATTTCAAAAGTCGTAGTCACTGATCGACATTTCAAACGTCGAATCTCACACGAGCGGGTGATACATGTTGCAGAGGAGGGGCGACAGAGGGAGGGGCTACGTATAAGAAGCAAGCATAGGATGTGATGAAGTGAAGAGAAAGTCAGTACCCAGGTCAAAGCATTCTAGTTTAGCCTTGTCGTTGGTCAGAAATACGCGCCCTCATGCACGATCATCACATCGCGGCGACCACTCACAGGGGAGAGAACACTAACTGCCGCAAAAGTCCATTTGACCTATTTTAGAACATTTCCATAAAGGATGAGATACATGAGAGTATGGATACTTAAATACACTTCATTAGTCTGAAATCAAGCATATTACCATTCAGATATATCCCCAAGTGCCGTAGTGCAATTATCTGCATGACGAGTATCTCTGAATGACATTATGCTACAGTATAATTCAATTTTTATCGAGCATTCCTATCGAGATAGGACGATTCACCATAGAATAGATGCAAACCCTCGAGGTTGACAAGAATATCCATCTCCTTCACTAAGGAACACACCAAAGCACCTTCCCTTTTTGCTGCTTTCGGGATTACCTGCCCAGTCAACTGAGAAAGATGCCCAACTCATCCTCATCATCCATCAATTTCTTTCTATACAAGAATCATTACTACTTTGTACCAGAATCATTAAACCACCCCATTATTCTCACACCAATTTGTCCAAGGCACGAATGGGCAACAAAGTATCCGCAGTCCATGGCGTGAAGTCAGACCATTTCTACGACCAAGGCAACGCCGTCAACGAGATCTGGGTCGGGGACGTGGAAGTCATCTCGCGTTTACCCTTCGGCGATTCCGATCTTGAGCAAGCCGGCTGGCCCCCGGGAGACTTCCCAAAGATCCCGTGGCATCATTTCATCATCCCCATGCAAAAGCGAGACGAAGCCAGCAATATGACTACCGAAATTCCCTCGTGGGCTAAGAATGAGGCTTGTTGCCAGGCTTGGAATCCAAAGAATGGGTACCTGGGCATGTACATGAGCATCTCTCCATGTGCGGCATATTTTATCGGGGTTGCGTTCCTTCTCCTCGCTTTCGGGACGTACTTTCATTTTATCACCTGCGTCAGCGCAGCTATCTTCGACTGGCGAGGTCTACGGGAATCATCAAGTCTTTACGCGGATCCGCCCGCGATCAGGCGTATGGCTAAGCGTAAACTTTTGTCTAGCCTCGCCCAAGCATTCATTGTGGCTGCTCTCTCTATTCTCTGTTTGGTCCTGGGCTTGCCTGCTGCCGCTGCTGGCATGAGGACAATGAATGCTGCCTCATTCATTTTGATCAATGGGCTTGGTATTGGTATTGTTGCTACCGTCGGCGTCGTCGGAGTCCCTTTGAGCTTTCTGTGGTTGACGAGAAAGCCACGTCGTGTGGAGATCCTCTTTTCGTAGCAGAGCGGAAGATTCCAATCCAGTTTTGCGAGGGAAAAGATTGAAGGGTCGGGAGGTGGTGTTGGCCCGCTTTGTCTGTTTTATTTCGAGTGCCATTGCTCATGTTCTATGTCACATTATTGGTGTATCATTATCTCCGATATAGCCTGACAGAGGATGAACAGAAGGGTGAAAGTTCTCTGTTTTGTCGTTTGCTGTCTTCAGGGTTTAGTGAATAAATCGCGCCACAGCTCTTTTATACCGTATCCCTTCGACTGATCTTCTTCGCGAACATGTACAGACTGCGCCATTCCTAGTGACCCAAACTTGATGGAAGAAACCGGGGGAACGGTTGATGACGGACGCGCACGCTCTGTCGCTCGGCGTTTTATTTCCTCTGCCAAGTCAGGCGCTACCGCAGCATAGCATGCGTTGAGCTCTCGGTCAAGATTGATATATGGTTTGTGGGCGGCGGCTGGAGCTTGGAGGTTGTATGAGCGTGTGAGACTGTTGATTTGTTTCACGGCGAGTTCGTGATAAGAACGTTCGATTGCGAGGTATCCGGGGTCTCGCAATGGTGGAAGATGGGCTAGATCTTCGGAGGCTTTTTCGCTGTCATTTATTGTAGGTGATCTCTGGGATGTCTCTGGCTTGGAGACAATCCGGCCATCAGTGTTGATCTCGGATACGGACGTATCCTCTTCAAACAAAGCCTCCAACTTTGCTTTGTCTGCCAGTCGAGTCTCGGCTGCAGCATAGGCTTTTGCCCGCTTCATTTGTATGTCCAAGGACCCACCCTTGCTCGCAATCAACATCGCAGCATGTCTCCGCCAGTCCGCTCGAAGACGTTCGCGGAATCGATTGAGTTCCGCGCCAAGCTGTTGTTGCTTCTCGATCCACGGCGGCACAATTTCCTGCTGCTGGATGATCCTATTCATAAAATATTCGGTTGTATCAATGAATGCGCTGGTCGCATTGTGGTCCGTCTTGGTATTTACACCTTTCCCACGACGTATCTTCTTAAACTCTCCACGTGCAATCGCATCTTGAATTCGCTCATCTGCCAGCGACGAAAGACCCGAGATCGAGATTGGCATGGAATACGCCCCGGGTGTCAAGTTCTCCCTCATCTCACGGCGCATATGCTCGCGCTCCTCTTCGGAAAACCCGGGAGCCCGACTTAGCGTGTAGGTAGAGGTGCGCTCTTTCGCTTCGGCGATTCGCTCTCCATGGGACTTTTTCGGCTTCGGGGGGATTCTAAGGTTCACAGGGTCGGGGATTTTGTAAGGCATTCGGATCGGCTTGCTCGCGTCATCTAGCATACGCAGAGTCGTGTCCTCGACACGCTCTGTTCCTGTCCATGGAGGAGCGGCGGCGTTCTCTCGTGTGCCTTGCCCTGCCGCAGACTGCAATAATGGAATGTGGGTTAGTGGCTGTTGGACAGTAGGACATTATAAGTATCACATACGGGCATTTCGACTATAGAATGAGCAGCAGCATACTGACTCCTAAATGAAGAAGCAGCAACGCGCTCTGCGAGCTTATTTTTCAGTTCTTCCGAGAACCCTGCTTGCTCGATGTTACGACGCGCAGATCGTCCACCTTCTAGCATCGCATCTTCGGTCATTTGAGCTAGACGGCGTCCCATCGGACTATCTTTTTCTTCTTCTTTCGAGCCATTTTCACTATCTTTATCCTCCGTCTTGACCGTAGACGTGGACGATGTTTGGTTCAGGTGGCATGCTGCGGAGAACCGCCTAGGAGTGGGAGCTATCGGAGCTCTAAAGGTGCATACCGAAGAAACGCCACGGAACTGTGTTGGCAAACCGTATCTCCCAGACATATTCAACAACCATGTATTGGTTTTGACAAACTTGCAATATCAAAAAGAGTGTATAGGTCTTGTAAATAGGGTGGCAAGCCCTCGAGGTAGATGAAGAGGGCCGGGGGCGCGGCCAAGATTAGTCATCTACCTCCGCGGAGTCGAAACTTCGGATTTTGTTTGTCGAAGATCCGTCGCCGGCGCCAGTATCCCATCGTCAATCCTGCACACGGTCGCTTCAAGGCATTTCGGCCTCTTCTTGTTCTAATTGATACCTATATTGCCAGTTCTACGAACCTAATAATTGCCCACCATGGCACCCAAAGGCTCCCTCTCCACCCGGCTCAACCCGATGCGTCTCAACACCATCAACCACCTCCGTGTCCGCCGGCCGAATCAGAATGAGCAGAACCCCTGCGTGGTAGTGATGTCCTCTATGCTGAGTATGTTTGTTCCTCTTCCTTAGGGATATTGACGCTATCAATTTCTCGTCGCCCTGGCTTCGAAGTACCTTGAATCTCGACTGACAATTTGCGTTGCTACAGACTGCTGGGCTTCCGCTGGATACGGCGCAGAGGGCTGCTCTGCTCTCGAGGCTCAATTGCGGAAGTGCATGGATGCACCGGTACGTTATAATCCATCGCCGTTCTTTTCATTATTGTCAGCATCCTTCTAACAAGGTATTTCCATCTATAGAAATCCAGGGAGCAGAAGAAGAACACCGTCAACTACCACCTCATGAGAATGTACCCTAAGGTTGTTGGCCCGCGGAAGAAGGACGGTGTTCTCGGTTAAAATGTTCTTTGCACGACTATCCGGACTTGGCAGCAGGAGCGAGCTGTCCACCTGGAGTTTTGGGTTTCTTTTTGATACATTATTACGCGAATACTCTGGCCTTTATCAGGATTTTCTGATTTGGTCTGCTTATTTTGCATCAGAGGCTATGGGAGTTGGCTTTTACTCATATGTACAGTATACAACTATGTGGGATTTGGACCTGTCAGAACAATTGATTAACTCTTATTTCCTACATATGCGTGTATGGATCCTCCACATAATAATGATCAATCACCAGGTCAGCACGATCTAATGTCACTGCCATCCCTCTTTGGTGGTGCCTGATGGATTGTGGCTGATATGAGGGTTATGAAGAACTGCGAACTTTGCTGGATCAAATTTCTACTCGCAGCTCTCAATTCTCCTCTTTAGTATCCTCGGGCTCTCGGGCTGTTAGGAGTCTGCATACTACACTCGCCGAAGAGGCCGAACATGGCCGTGCTACCGAAACCGGGGACAGGAGTTGTTGCTATCCTAGCTTATTAGATCACGATTTGCGATCATTCTTAGCCACTTTACGCTCTTGGATATTGCATGAGCTGGCGGGAAGCAGTGTTTATTCTTTCAGCTGCAATGTTGATACTTTTCCATTGATCGAATTAATTCTATTCCGAGCTCATACAGCTTGCAGCAATGGCTGCACTTGCAAGATCCCCTCCTGGTATATCTCAGACAGACTCGAACTTGAGGATCAGTTTATCACCTGTCGGTTTCACGGTGTAAGCATCGATGGCCTCGATGTTGTCATCGTTGACAATCGTGGTGCGGAAGTTGGTGTAAATCGCAGCCACGGCCAATTTCATTTCTGCCAAGCAGTAATCAGCATAGTTCAATGGTTGGAATTCTTAAATTCATACCTTGCAGTGCAAGATTGCTTCCCACGCACATACGTCCTCCACTCCCAAACGCCCAGAACCACCGCCGTTTCTCTTCCAAATCAGCCGGCGAGTTTTCAGCTTCCAGCCAACGCTTCGGCTGCCAGGTTTCTGGCTCTGGGAATACTTCCGGATTGCGGTGCAGTGAATACGCTTGCGCATTCACTCTAGTGTTAGGTGGGACGTCTGCATAGCCGGCCAAAATGCACGAGGGAGATGGCGTTACCCGAGGCTGAATGCCAGGGATCGGAGCATGAAGTCTCAAGGTCTCTGTCACGATCGCTTCTAACAGTGGCAGGCTATCGATTGACTTGGCTGGTGGCAGATCGGCTGTCTTGGGATATAAAATCGGGGGATTCAGAGTGAGTAGCTCCTCTCGGAGCTTGTTCTGCACTTCTGGGTGTAGGGAGAGTTGCCAGAACAAATATGTCAGACCAACAGCACTTGTTTCAAAGCCGGCAGTCAGCTGGTCGTACATCTCGCAAGCAATATCGAGTCGTTGCTGGGCCTTATCTGGCTTTGCTTCTCCATTCTTTGTGGAATGCTTGTCCAGAGATTGTTTCAGCTGCTTGTAGACAGTTGGCTCGATTCCTGGCTCGGTCGACGAAATCATCTGCTCTGCCCTATCGCATAGGTCCAGAGCCCAAGCATCAAGCATTTCATTGGCGTCGTCGCAGTATTTAGGTATCACGCGAAGACCGATCCGTCTCAGCCATCCATTCAAATATGGAACCTCCTGGGCATAAAACTCGAACGGCTTTCGGCACATGTAAAGGTGAAGCCAGTGCTTACGAACCGAATCGTCTTGCAGGTAATTAGTGCCATTCTGCAAACCGAATAGATAGGAGGAGACGAAATCCATCGTCAGGCCCTGGTCTAGATCATGCATATCGATGGATTTGCCAGACTTTGACACTTCTTGAAGAATCGGCAGCAGTCGATCGAAGATGACTGTGTCTGAAACTATCCGCATATGAGGGGATGTTTGCAGAGTTGATTTGGAGTATATGTTGGACAACATCCTTTTTCGGGTTGAATGTGTCTTGCTTCCTGTCATGGTGAACATACTCACTGTCCTGTTTCTCATGGTTAGCTACTTTGTTTACTGTGAATCGGTGTCTATACTAACCCAAATGACCCGAAGACTCGTGGGTACCAGTCATGCTTCTCAAATCCACCAGCATAAACTGTCTTAATTCCTCCATCGACACAGTTAATCGAGATCTCCGATGGTCCTAACCTAACGATAGGACCGAGTCTCTCGTGTGCGGCCTGAATTGTCCGGTTATTTCGGCTTGTGAAGCGCCTCCATAACATCCATGCAGGCGAGATGGAAGCACTCCAGTGCACGTTGGGGATTTTCGACAACGGGGAGAGAAACACTGGGTAAATGAACACTCTGTAGAAGATGAGGCCAGCGAAGAATGCTGCCGCAAGAGCAGTGATCGAATAAGCCATTATGAGTGCCGGTGTTTGCCGTCCACTGTAGATAGTTGGTGAAAATCTAGATACTTTGCAAATATGAGAAAAGCTGGGAATCCCTCCGGACCTCGGGGTTGTATACAATGGGGATTGCCGACGCGGCTATGCCACTAGCTGTTAGACCAGCCAACACTCATCCGTGTATTACAGGTGGTGCCGAGTGTGTTCCCTAATTGCAAGATTAACCTACAAGCCCCATACCGTTCGAGTCCCACTCACTCTGATTCGTCATCTGCCGGTGGACAGCCAGTGAATCAGATTCCGCTGAGGAGAGTGTATATGCGCCTTTAGATTCGATAGGGAAACTTGTCTTGTCCAACGAGACCTGTGACATTACAACTTCCCCGGGAATGCGATAAGATAAGCGTACATAATGGACTACGTTGCTGCATCTGTGCCTTCAGATCCTTTTCCTTTGGAGTTAGAAACTACTATACACGTTAATGTAGTCTTGTTTCTCAAGTTTGAAGCTCCAGTATCTATACAATTCCTTTTTGGTGCACAAAAAAAGAGGACAGGCTGAGCTGCTGCCCAAGCGAGCCCATATGCTTACGTCATAAGGTAACGGGTCCAGTGCCCACATGGGGCAATTTGTGTATGAAATTGCTGACCTGCAACATCTTGACGGTCGAAAATTGTCAAATTGAATATAAATCGAAGCTCGAATCTACTTGTCCTTGAACAAATGGAGCTCTTCCCCTTTCTAGCACACTCAATGAACAGCAAAACATATAAAAGCGGCGGAAAACAAATGATGGCGATAGTCTGAAAGCCCGAAACAATTACTCTTCTCACATCTCTGTCTGGCTTCCGCGTTCAAGATGCTCTCCGAGCTCCCATCAGAGATCATTTATCAAATCGCAACACATCTCCCGACTGCCAATGCATTGGCCCATCTGTCCCAGACATGTCACCGACTGCACGGCATAATCACAGCTGAAAATTCTCGGATCTTCCGAGCGTTTGTGCGAAGTAGATTTCCATATATCGAAACACCGCCATTCTGGAAAGATGCTGCACGAGCTTTGACCTCTAGGTCGCGGGCCTTGGACAGAAAAGCCATCATCGGAAGATTTGTCGTGCCACCTGGAACTGCGACCAAAATCGGTTCTCACGAGGTGACTCGCCAAGATAACCCGACTCTCGGGTACAGACCTTCAATTGATTCTTACGAGACCTGGAATGGCCAGCGTTGGGCTGATAGGAAAGAGGTCCTTGCCTGGGGTGCTGCCAATCAGCTTGTGATGAGGATCAAGCAAACTGGTGTTCGCGCGCAAGAAGACTGGCTTGTGTTTAACGATATTGATCATGTTAGCAGCTATGACGACATTTGTTCTCTGCATCTTTTGTCCTCAGCGACTCGATACAGCAACGATACCCATGTGGAGCATCTGATCTTCGGTCGGGTCCGAGGTGATATTGTTCACCTTGCCATCTCTCCCAATGAAGCAACCTTTGAGCACAAGCAGAAGTTTATATCATTTGGACTCAACCTCGATAAAACAGATTTGAGTAGTGGCACAGACTCTACTTTGGCTGCTCATTTTGAAAATGGAAGCATCGCTTTCTATCATACCGAGACTGACGACGAAGTAATCGAGCCATTTACATGGCTTCGACTGGAAGGCTCGTCACGAACCAACTACTCCAAACTGCTATCCTCATCACTAGTGGCAGTGGGAACTGGAAATGTGGAAAACTCCTTGTCTATCTCGAAAATCACACCAGACGGTGTCTCTGTATATCGAACAATCGGAATTGGTTCTTTAGACGCCGACTCTACAAACCTTAAATCAAAGGCCAATATCGGCGCCATTGAGCCTCTCAATGAACACAACCTAGGCTCCCCCGGCGAAGTCTTTCTAACCGCCTGGGACGACTACACCGTAAGACTTCACGACCTGCGCTCCCCAAGGCCCTCCGAAGTCTCCTACAGAGACGCCACGGACCTCAATCCCATTTACAGCCTCCACGCCTTCGGCCATGACCGCTTCTTAGCCGGAGCTGGCGGCGAAGCCGTGGTCAAAATCTTCGACCTACGCATGTGCAACACATACAGTTACCTCGATGCACAATTCCCCGACTCGCAATTCAATGCCAACACCATACCCAGAACAAAAGCAAAACCCCGCCCTAAAAAGGGCTTCTCCATATTCCTCTCCCACCCACCACCCCCTACATTCCCCCAACAAACTCCACACCCAGTCCGCACCCGCCAAAGAGGCCCCTACCGCGGCCCCATCTACACAATGTCCTCACCCTCACCCTCCTCGCCGACCGTCTACACGGGCATCGTGGACGGGGTGGTCCAGCTCGATTTTGCGTCTACGGATGACTTAACCGGTCCGGGGAAAGAGTGGTACGAATATAATCTGGACCTGGGTGTGAATATGGGTCCGGGGAGTTTACCGCGCTGGAACGCCGAGGCATTCAATTTGGCTGGATATGAGCGCCCGGATGACGAGGACTCCGCTACCACTTCTAAGCTGAGGACTCAGCGCGCGTTTGCGGATCTTAAGCCTGGGGATGCTGCTCGTGGGACGCATACGGGTTGGGATTGTAGGTGGGAGACTTTGGAGGAGCCTGGGGCTTGGAGAAGGCAGGATGGATAGGTTGTGGGTTTTATAGTTTTTTGTTTTGTACGGGGGTACCTAACACTGTTTTTGATAGAGACTAATCAGGCTAGAAGGGGTTTGTGTTCGTAGGTTACGTCCTTTCCTACTTCATGGAGAATTGAAAATACTTCCAGAATTCGTCGAGGACGGATTTCAAACTTTTGAATGATGTAAGCTAATAAGCAAAAAAGATTCTATGGCAAATCTTGGGTCCAACGACCTTGTCCATAGCTCCATACGCCATGCTGAGTGAAATTGGTAAAGAATGATGCGGGATATAAGAGCCCTGGCTGTTCATATTGATCCATTGCAACAAACCTGAGTCGTAATGCAAATATTGCAGCAGCAAAAAGACAGCGATTCTTCCCTTCGGCAAAGCGACATCCAAGACAAAAAGCCTGGGTTTGGTGGCAAATTTTGGATTAGATGCTGACGATAGCCTGATATTATGAACTAGCAAATACGTTCGTGTGGCAAAAGCAAGCGTCGTCGTTTAATCCTCGAACTTGTAGGAGGTCGTGCCGGGGGCAATGTCGATGGGGCCGCCGCGGTAGGAGCCACGCTTCTTCTTGTTCTTTTCCTTGGTGAATCCCTTGCCGCGGGTCACAGACAAGTCCTTCCAGGCACGGTCTGCATAGGCGTACGACATGTAGTCGTTCGAGGGGTGGTCATGGGGCAATTCACTCAGGAGGGCCAGAGGGGTAGGGCGAGCTCCGGTGTGCTTCTTCTTGGCAGGTCCATTGCCAGGAGCGGGACTGGCGCTCGATGAGGTAGTCTGCACAGTCTCCACGGCCTTCTTTGTGGGCTTGGTCTCGGTCTCTGGGGAAGCGGCGAGGGTGCTGCCGGATGAAGAAGACTCCGAGTCAGAAGAGGAGTCGGACTCGGGGAGAGGTGTCTTCTTTGCCTTCTTCAGGGCCTTCTTGGATTCTTTTTCGGATTCGGACTCTGATTCAGACTCAGACTCAGAAGAGGAGTCGGAGGAAGACTCAGAAGAGGAGTCAGAAGAAGAGTCGGAGGAGGAATCAGACGAAGAATCAGAAGAGGAGCTCGACGAGGAGTCTGAGTCAGAGCTGGAAGAATCCGAAGACGAAGAGGAAGATGCCTCTTTGGGGGTGGGAGATGTCTTGGCTTTCTTGGCCTTAGGGCTATCATCTTCGGATGAAGAGGAGGAGTTGGAGTCGGAGGAGCTGCTAGACTCGCTGCTAGACTCGGCCTTGCGCTTCACGCCGGCAGACTTCTGAGCCGGAGCGGAGCTGGGGGCGGAGGTGGGAGCCGCAGGAGACTTATCATCGTCATCCTCATCATCCGCATCGCTATCGGAGCTAGAAGAGGAAGACGAAGACGAAGAGGAAGACGAAGAGGACGAGCGAGTGGCCTCACCCATCTCAACATCCGAGTCACTATCGGAGCTGCTGCTTGAGCTGGAAGAAGAACTGGGGCTAGCAGACTTCTTCACGCTAGATTTCTGCTCCGAGGCTTGGAAGAGTTCCAAAAGAGAGGGAACATTTTTCGCATCGCTCTGCTTGCCCGACTTTGTCGCTTCCTTAGTGAAGGCGACGCTAGTCTGAGGGAAATTGTCCGACAAGAAAGCCGCGACTGAGGCGATCAGCTGAGGGGGGATAGACTTGGTCTTGGAAGAATCAGTCTGTGAAATTAGGGCATTGTCAGTCAGGTCTGTTTGTAGATCATGCCAATCGATATGTCAATCGAAGGTAAATGAAGCTTACCTTCTTGACCGAAGTCTTCTTGCTGGAAGCCTTTGCCATAGTGACTGAGCGGTTCGTTTCAACGGTAGCGAAGGAAGAGAACCCGGGGCAAGAAGAGACTATTTAGAAATAATCTGCCAGGAACCAAAAAAGAAGGGAGGAAAAAAAAAAGTATATAAAAGGCGGTAAGCTATCAGCTTCACTGTTATTGGTTGATATGAGTAAGCATTGTGATTGGTGCGCGGATATTTCGGCATTATCTACGAAGGGCTCTCTTATTGGCCACATCTCTTCACCGCTGCGGTCTCTAGTCGGATCTAATCTATGTGCATATTTAGACCGAGTCTCCACCCCTTTGTGCCTTATTCTTTCTAAATACTAGTACATGGTATGCCGGTCTGAAACTTCCCTGATATCAGAGCACCACCAGGTTCAAGATAGATGTTTGCTTGTACAGGTCAACGGCCCTGTCTTGACAGAAAATAGTGCCCCTGAATTCAGGGCACTCAAAGTTTACCTGGGCCATATACCGATATGGATGGATGCATACATACATGAAGTCAACTTCGGAAATATACATGTGATCTGCATTTGAATAAAGAACTTCTAGTCATGCTGTCCTCTTTGATACCGAAGAGTCACCGTTTTCTGAATAACCGGTTGGTCTTTTGATTCTGATTTGCTTCGCTTTAGATTAGAGCTGAAAGCTGGACACTTCTATAGCTGGTTTTTGACACTTGTCTCGCACAATATCTTCAAGAGAACCTTGAATTTCAAGGACTTTCGCTTTTGATTGAAAGCTGCACCATATCACCTGGAATTGCTCTAGCTTCAGCAAGCTTGTTCTTATTCCCAGTGATGAAATTGATTGCAGTTGGAATGGTGGACACAAATTGACTAGGGAAATCGAACGCGGTGCGAATAATGTATGTAATGTCTTGAAGGTATGGTACATCGGCAGTTTCTATCGCGCATGTTATACAACTGAAACCAGACCGGCCCTGGGGATGGATGACTAACTTTTTGCTGGCAATTAGTTAGTTAGTTAGAAGCCAATAAGATCAAAGTCATGATCGCCATGCACTGCGATAACATCTTAGTGTATCAGGATAGCCAAAGTAAGTGAGATAGTGAAGCGCCAGTAAGCAATCGTCATGAAAAATCTGCGCTCAATTGAACATTCATCTCTGACATTCTGCACGTTTGTTGACATAGGTAACCCCGGATCAATTCGATACTCCGATACTCCGCTCCAAGCTCTCCGCCTTCCAAGGTTCCACCGAGACACATTGATGAGCTAATTCAAACTTCAGCGCTGGCCACTTGCATTACTTTGAGCCACAACGTGTACTGCTTTGTCCCTCATCATATTCTGCAGTTTACAAGCGCATTATTTCCTCGACACGTTTCAATTCCTTCGGCGCGTGGTGCGTAGTGGCGTCGCCCGATCCCGACCCTCCCGACCATGTCCCCTTGATCTCGCGGCTACCCACACGTGAGCTCTGTGTCCCTCGATACCATGGTGAATGGCAGAGACCGTCCCCGTGGGCCTCCGCCAGGGCCGCCACTGAATCGTGGAGATCTGCACTCCGATTCGGGTTCCAGCCCAAGCACTATGACAAGAGGGGCTGCTTTTGAAGATGAGAAGAAGCGGATCATTCATAGTTGTTTCGCAAAAAAGGATGAAGATGGTCTCTGTACGTACACGACCAACGTATTTCCTCGGCTTTGCCCTCCCACAGAATAGTGGTATGGTTGGCAACACATTACGAAAGTTATTTCCAGGGCCTAGATGGGATCGCAAGGCGTTTGCTTCGTTTTGCCGGCGACCTCTGCTAATCTCTCTGTTACTTCCAGTACTCGAATCCTATATAACACACGTTCGCATCACCGAGGATTCGGCGCACCCTTCTAGCCCTTCCCCGCCAAACGGGCCACCGGAGAACAAGAAACCGCGTATCATTATTATATCGGTTCGGAAGTCAGGTAGAGTCCGTATACACAAAGCTCGAGAGAACAATGAGGGGACCTACTCTATTGGCAAAACTTGGATGCTCGACGATTTAAGCGCAATTCAAACGTTCGGCTCTTTTGTGCCGAGAACACCGGGAGAGCAGCAACAAAAAGAATGGGCGGGCAATGTAGGATTCACGGTCACAATCGGAAAGCCATACTACTGGCATGCCAGGACTTCTAAGGAGAAGGAGTTCTTCATTGGGAGCCTGGTCAAGATCTACAAGAAATACACCAATGGAAAGGTCCCCAACCTCGTTGGTTTTGATGACAAGGAGCGACAAATGTTGTCAAGGCATGGACAATCAGGACAGCCAGCACAGCCAGCGCAACCAGGTGGTCCACCACCAAGAGGACAGCCACCACAACCAGGTGGTCCACCGCCAAGGGGACCCGGTCCAATACCTCCAACATCAGACAGCTCGATACCTCCTTCGCTACAGCCGTCCTACAGAGGTCGTGATACCAGTCGCGATGGGCCTCGGGAAGTCAAGAGGAAGCCTTCTGAAGACCCCACACTTCGCACCCAAAAGAGCCGCGAGCAGATGTCTCGGCCGTCGACCGGTTCTCGGCCATCTACAGGACACGGTAGACCGGCGCCATCTCCCTTTGATCTACATAAATCTCCTCCCCATTCGCTTCTTTCTGGGCCACCTCTGGACCAGCAACCGCCGCCACGCGCAGCCGAGCGTAGCGCAACACATGCAATGCCCCCGAGTTCACTATCAGAATCGAGGGGAACGGATAATCTGACTGTTGCAGCACAATCCAGCAACTATGCCGATATTCCAGAGTCACTCCGTCCATCTTCCGCTCGCAGCCAGGATCGCGGTCCCAAACCCCCGCCTCTTACTACCCAACCAGCCCCAGCTAAGGCACCAGAATTCATGCGCAGCAATGATACACTTCGTCCTACTACTTCTGGTTCTTCCAATAATGAGAATAGGGACACAGTCCCACGCCCCACGCCCAGCTTTGGTCCAAAGTCGCCCCAACGTGGTGGTGGTGATAAGGCATTCACGTTTAATCACCCCTCTCTGCCTCAAGAGAGAAGTGCATCAGATAATTTGTTAGCTGGAGCCCATGCGCAGCCCCGGGAACCATCTTCGTCGCCGGCAATTGAGGGACTAGCTGCAGAGCCTGCCGCTATTATGGCTGCGAATCTGCCCTCTGTAGAGCCTATTCAGCCTTCCAATGAAAAGCCCAAGACCCCTATCGAGACTGCCCCTGCTGCGGACTCGCCATCTCAAGCTTCCTCAGAGCAGGCCGGAGAAACCGGCGAATTCGAGCCGCATCGCCCGGGGCTCGGCCCTATGGTCAAGAAGAAGGACGCCAAGGATATCGCAGGCGCATGGAAAAAGGCTGCAAATGCTTATGCTGGTTTCAAGCCCAGGATTGGTGGGGCTGGTGAGCGACTGCTGGCAGCCGCGAAAAAGTCACAGGCCGATCTCGCGGGCCCTGATGGCATCACCAGTGTTGTTCCGGCGCCGTCCCTTGCCCGATCCCTAACTGATCCCCCGCAGAGTCCAATGGTACCAAAGTCGGAACAAGATCTACAACTTCCTGCACCCACTGTAGGGCCGGAGACACCAACCGTCGAGATTACAGAGCCAGCACCCGAAGAGATCGCGGTGACCCCTGTTCAAACTCCTGAAGTCTCACGAGAGAATCTTTCTGATGTTGTCGTAAATGTTGAAGATCGTTCAAGGTCACCATCCCCGGCAACTCAAGGACGTCGTCGCAGACGCCGTGAAGATCACACTATGAAATATTGCCAGGCCCTTGGGATCGATCCCGGCATTCTCGACGGACGTGGTATTGATTTTGATGACATCCTCACTGATCTGGGCTGGAACGGACGGTTGGCCGATGAACAGAAGATTGAGGATTTGGAAGCAGATGTTCGCCGGGAAATTGGCCGTGTCGAGGCCACCAGCTGGCTTGGGAACCTTGAACAACAGGAAGGAAAGGTTGAACAACTTGCAAGCTTGATTGACAGAACGATTGAAGAGTGTGACGAGCTGGATGGTCTTTTGACTCTTTACTCCCATGAACTGAACGTAAGTTTCGGGATTACGGGATCGGAATTGATCTACAGTTGGCTAACGAGACCACATTACAGACTCTTCACGAGGATGTCGCCTATATCGAAGCCCAAGGCCAAGGTCTACAGGTACAAACAGCAAATCAGAAGCTCCTGCAGAACGAACTCCAGACCCTTTTGAAGACACTTTCAATATCTGTAACCGAGCTGGGACCACTCAAAGAGGCATCTTTGAGCAATCCCGATGGGCTGAAGGATACTGAAAGTGCTCTAGCGACGTTGTACAAGGCCATGGTTACGATCGACTCTGACATTGGACAAAACAAGAAACGTCAAGTCGATGCAAGTGTCGGCGTGTATGCTGATACAGAAATCGGCCAGATGCGTGCGATCAAGCAAAAGAAGGAAGAATATCGCTCTATTGCAACCATGTTCCTCAACCGACTGCAGCAGTTCATGGCCCTTGCCTTCAAAATGGCAGAACAAAAACGTCTTGACTGGAGCAACGGTGCCAAAGATCCCATGAAATTGGACAGCGCCGCACGAGGGCACTTCCGTCAGGAGGTCTGGCGGTATAATGCCTTGATGCTATTTGCTAAGGAGGTTAGCATGGCAGAGTGGCATAGCCTTGTCAGTCTCTATGAGCAGCAGTCCAAGCCTTCGTACCAAGGTGACTTCCGCGACAATAACCTGGCTTGGAAGAACACCGCACGCAAACCAACGGGTGATGAGCAGGAACTCCTCTTCACGCACCAAGAGAAGGAGAAAGAAGCCGAGGGTCTCACCATGGCTGCACGAAAATTGACCGTGCGACGGGGCAAGACGGTGCGGGCTGCCGCTGGGCTTCGACTGGCTTCGGGAGGCGGGAAGAAGGAAGGAAGGGCTGAGCCGTCTGAGGCATTCTCCGGGACGCTGCGGGAGACACTGAACATGATGGCTCAGGAGCAGAACTTCATCATCCAATTCTTCCATCTTGATTCACTTGCCAGCGCCGATTTTTCCG